AAATGGCAAAGATTTCGGCTTTCTTAAAAGAACAATCGCAAGAGAAATTTCTTGCTGTTTGGGATAAATGGATAAAGTTTATACAATTTAAATTGGATATAAAAAAATATCATCTAGCTTTTTTATAACTTTTATTTTTATATATATACATATATTTTAGTGTTATATTCTTTTTTTTCATATAATTTTTTTAACTTTTTTTAATTAAACCTATATTCTGCTCTGGGAAGCTCCAGGGGGGGGAGGGAGTGGGGGTTTTGGGGAGGGTTGGGGAAGGGTTGTTTTGTTTTGTTTTGCTTTGTTTTGTTTTGCTTTGTTTTTGTATTGTATTGTATTGTTTTTTTTTGTCTTTTTGTAAAAATTTATAAAAAATTTTAATAAAAAAAAACAAAGGCAAATTTTAAAGATGCCTTAAAATTTAAATGAGAAAAGAGTTTCTTCCTGATTTTTTTCAGTGACAGTTCTGTGTTAATATCAAAGACTTCTCAAAAGTAACTAAACTAAAAATAAACTTGGTTTCAAGTACACTCTTTACAAGAAATCTCTAGAGAATTGATTATCAACCTTGAGTATTAGGAATGAAATTAGTAATAGAAAGACTTCATTAAAAATACAGTGAGGGGAAAAATTATTTGATTCTCTGCTGATTTTGTATGTTTGCCCACTGACCACGAAATGATCAGTCTATATTTTAATGGTAGGTTTATTTTAACAGTAAGAGACAGAACAATTAAAAAAATCCATATAAATGCATTTCAAAAAAGTTATAAATTGATTTGCATTTTAATGAGTGAAATAAGTATTTGATCCCCTATCAATCAGCAAGATTTTTAGTTCCCAGATGTCTTTTATATAGGTAACGAGCTGAGATTAGCATTCTCTTAAAGGGAGTGCTCCTAATCTCATCTTGTTATCTGTATAAAAGACACCTGTCCACAGAAGCAATCAATCAATCAGATTCCAAACTCTCCACCATGGCCAAGACCAAAGAGCTGTCCAAGGATGTCAAGGACAGGATTGTAGACCTACACAAGGCTGGAATGGGCTGTAAGACTATCGCCAAGCAGCTTGGTGAGAAGGTGACAACAGTTGGTGTGATTATTCGCGAATGGAAGAAACACAAAATAACTGTCATTCTCCCTCGGTCTGGGGCTCCATACAAGATCTCACCTTGTGGAGTTTCAATGATCATGAGAACAGTGAGGAATCAGCCCGGAACTACACGGGAGGATCTTGTCAATGATCTCAAGGTAGCTGGGACCATAGTCACCAAGAAAACAATTGGTAACACATACGCCGCAAAGGACTGAAATCCTGTAGCACTCACAAGGTCAAGAAACCACATGTACAGGCCCGTCTGAAGTTTGCCAATGAACATCTGAATGATTCAGAGGAGAACTGGGTGAAAGTGTGTGGTCAGGTGAGACCAAAATTGAGCTCTTTGGCATCAACTCAACTCCCCATGTTTGGAGAAGGAGGAATGCTGCCTATGACCCCAAGAACACCATCCCCACTGTTAAACATGGAGGTGTAAACATGCTTTGGGGGTGTTTTTCTGCTAAGGAACAGGACAACTTCACTGCATCAAAGGGATGATGGATGGGTCATGTACCGTCAAATCTTGGGTGAGAACCTCTTTCCCTCAGCCAGGGCATTGAAAATGGGTGGTGGATGGGTATTCCAAAACACACAACCAAGACAACAAAAGAGTGGCTCAAGAAGAGACTGGCCTAGCCAGTCTCCAGACCTTAATCCCAGAGAAAATCTGTGGAGGGAGCTGAAGGTTTGAGCTGCCAAATGTCAGCCTTGAAACCTTAATGACTTGGAGAGGATCTGCAAAGAGGAGTGGGACAAAATCCCTCCTGAAATGTGTGCAAACCTGGTGGCCAACTACAAGAAATGTCTGACCTCTGTGATTGCCAACAAGGGTTTTGCCACCAAGTACTAAGTCATGTTTTGCAAAGGGGTCAAATACTTATTTCATTCATTAAAATGCAAATCAATTCATAACTTTTTTGAAATGCGTTTTTCTGGATTTTTTTGTTGTTATTCTGTCTCTCACTGTTAAAATAAACCTACCATTAAAATTATAGACTGATCATTTGTCAGTGGGCAAACATACAAAATCAGTAGGGGATCAAATAATTTTTTCCCTCACTGTATAGGAACTGATTCAGACATACATGGAGCTGAGAGCACAATAAATTTCATTTATTCTATTTACAACAGATTACAATTGTGGTTCAGTTTTGTGAGCTGTGATGGTTAGAATGCAATATTGCAGGCTAAGTCTGCCCACAGCCAGGTGTTCAGTCCTGACTGGCTCAAGGTTAATTCAGCCTTCCACCCTTCTAAGGTCAGTAAAATGAGGACCCAGATTGTTGGGGGGCAATATGCTGATGTGGTAAATCACTCAGAGAGTGCTCTAAAGCAGGGCTTTTCAACCTTTTCACAGATTGTACCACTTTTAGGACATGATAATATTTGAGTATCACCAGTGCTTAGTAAGGTGTCAAAAACTTGATAACTAAAAAAAAGGGGGGGGGGGTTTGGCTTTACTGGTTAAATTCATTTGTTGTTATAGAAATGGCTAGTTTATAATATTATGGAAAAGTAAAAAGTTGAGGTTCAATGTTAATGCTTCTTTCTTACTGCAACAGTGAAATTCAGAAGTCAATGCCTTTTCTTTTTCCCCTCTCTCCCTCACCGCTTCGCTAACAAAAGCCTCTTCTCTTTCTCCATATGTTTTTTTTTCTCCCGCTCCTGCCAAAACCTGCTTCTTTTATAGCTCCTCCTCTCTCCGTGCTCCTCCACCTCCTTTTCTCTTCTGGGTACGTGGGAAGCTCCAACCAGCATGCAGCCGCGCATGCAGACCCTGGAACTTCTGCCAAGCCCTGCAGCTCCAACTGATCTCCAGGCCTGCACAGTGCTGCTTTAGCTTGTTCCTTCCCCCGCTACACTTGGCTAGGGGTCGCGTACCACCTGCCAGGTGCTAAAGCACTATGGATGGGTATATAAATCTAAGTGCTATTGCTATTTTGTATCTAAGTGAACTATAGTGCATAAGTGAATACCTAAAGAAAATCTGAATAATAATGATTTCTACATACTTATCTAACATACATTAATAATTTTCTTAATGTTGCTTTGGTTGCACATAGCTTTTGCCTTTTCTCACAATCACTTATCTTTAGGGCTTTTTTTCTCATAGAACGCCCAGAACGGAGTTCCGTCACCTTTTTTGGATGGAACCTTCTAGGGTAGGCAAGGCAGGTTGTATGACATGTGTGAGTTCCGGCACCTTTTTTTTTTTTTTTTTTTTTAGAAAAAAAGCACTGCTTATCTTAATTGCTGGCTTTGGAATGCTAATCTCCTTTCTTCACTTCTGGAAATGGAAAAGGCCTAGCTAAGGGAAAAAAAGAAAGAGACAATATTTTTTCTTTTTCTTTTTAATCCAAACTTTTGCTCATCAGTAATCTGGGCACCAACTTGAACTACCAAGGCTGACTTTACACGTAATGCTTTAGTTCCTTTTTTTGTTGCTTCTTCTCAGATGCTTCCTCAGGTTTGCTGCAGGCATCCCTTGATTGTTCTCTGTTCCACAACCATGGATCAGCTGAGCTTCCCACATGTCAGTTTCTGCTCCTTCTCAGTCCTCTTATGTTAGGTCATCTCTGTCACTAAGAGTGTTTTCTGCAAAATCTAAAATAAACCCATCTTCTCTCTAGCTTCCAATTCATGTTCTCAGATATTTTATCTCCCAAAACTTATAGGCCAGCTTGTTAGTGCTCCCAAGAAGTTTAGGGTGGGTTTTTTCCTCCATTTCCCCACATGCCCCGGGCCTCCTCAGGGGATGGGGAGGAATTATAAATACAATGCTACAAGAATCATGTTCTCAAATATGGCAGCTCACTCTGCCAGTGGAAACGGAGCATGCAATATGGATTTCAGCAGCAATATTGCCTCTGTAAGCAACTTGATAGTTTTAGATTGAATTCTATAGTTCTGATACTGCTCTGTTTCTGTTTACCCAATTCTTATACTAAGTGTCTCTTCTCTGGAGTTCAGCTATTTAAAAGTTCAATGGCAGGATTTCAAAGCTGGTCTTAATGCTGGCAGATATTAAACCTGAGAAAACCAACCTAATGGATTTTTAAAAAATTTAACTGACTTGAACTGGGATCAAATACACTATGCTGGTTTTATCCTTTTATTTAATTTTTTTTTCTAATAATAAAAAAATGCAAGAAGCAGTGAAAATAAGATTATCCAGATCTCCATAGACTTAGTGAATGAGACAAAGTGGCCACGTGATTTTAAAAATAGAAATCTCTGTAGAAGCCCATTTTCTTAGCAAATCCTACTTTAGCAACTTGCTAAACATAAACATTCACGCATACATATTGCAAAGCAGATTTCTTATTTTGTTCCATTTCTTGACAATATTTTGTGGTCCTATATTATTTTGAAGTAATAGGCATAAATACTTATCATGTTTTGAGAAGCTATGAGAGATGGTGGGTTTGGTTTGATAGCCATTTGCTGATTATTTTTCTAAAGCTAGTATTAATAATTGCATTTGAGGAATGCTATCATTAGAGGGAGTCTTCTAATCTTGTGTTCACTTTTTTGATGTACTTTCCTTCACATATGCAGCAGAATCCAGTCACAGACAGGGGAGCCCCAAAACCTTTTGTTTAATAAATGTACAGACTAATAAACCTCAAGATTCAGGGCTGTTGCTTTAGCATCTTAAGGAAAATGAAACAGATACAATATGGCAGATAGGCATAGGGAGTAAAATGTAAAGAAAAGCACAGGAATATTAATAGGTTGAGCAATTGTTGCTGGGTTGGTATGAAAAATATACAACCACATTTTAAATTTTTAAATGAGTAAATAAGAAAGATGATTATATGTCATGCTGTAAATTGGATTCTTTATGGATTATAGAAAGAGTAAAAATAAGTATCTTCTTTTCTTTCTTTCAACTCATTTAGCAATCATTGTACCTCCTATTGTACAAATTATACCCACAAAATCTGGAGTCTTGGATGTTCATCTCCAAAGCCTTCCTGTTATACTTAATGGTATCAGATACTCCTTGAAGGATTTTTATGGTTCGGTAGTTTACAAGATAAAAATTTGGATGAATGCTAGTGAACAGGTAATATTTGATGATGTGTGGAAGTGGGCTTCTTTGATGCTTAAATATATTTTTCTACATACAATAAACAGAGAAAAATTCTGAATTTTTTTAATAAACAGCAAAAAGATGATTAAAACTTTGATTTTACAAAATTGCAAATAGACTAAACGTCCAGATAAATTTGAAATAAAAATTTGGAATTAATTATAAAGAATCCTTCCTATGGGAAAATGCTTTTCTTTTGTTTTTTTTTAATTAAGGTAAGACTTGGAAAATTGGATATTAAAGGGAACTAGAATGAACTAAAGATACAACCAAAGGCAAAGTACATTCAAACTCAACTTATAGATTTGAACAAAATATTGGGCAAAACATTGGACATATTGAATGATATTTTTGAACTATAGACTTAGATATTAATTTTAATAGTGTCTGCCTCCATATAATGTGGTTAAAAGAACAAGCTCTACCTGACAGGACTGACTTGAAAGTGGATTAAAACTGACAGGCTACAAGAATAACATGCTAGTGTTGTAGCATGTTTTTTCATTGTTTCATCGTTGTGATTACAGTGCTGCTATATTAACCTGATTTGACATATTTTTGGAATAGGTTTTCTAACCTGTGCACTCTCCAAATGTGTGGAGTCCAAGATGCAGAATTTCTAACTAACAAGGTCATTGTTGAGAAAGTTGAAATTGATCTAGACATATATCTGGGAAAGGCTATATTTCTAGCAATAGAAATATATGGAGATTATCAATTGAAAATAAAAACTCCTATGACTTGATTGTATTGTGATTTTTTGTTCCTTTCCAATTAGATTATCGATAACGTGACTGCACCACACACTTTCCATGTAATATCTGGCTTACATCCTGGAATAACATATTGTCTTAAGGCTCAAGCATTTATTGAAGAACTGAATAAACCTGGAGAGTGGAGTAAAACCAGTTGTACCCAAACAACTAATAATAATATAGTAGGTAAGAGCCCGGCCAGCCTTTAAGAAGGCTCTGAAGATTTGATTCTTCCAATTGACACTGGACCAGAATGATATATAAGCTTATTGTAATATGAGCTCTGCATTTTGTCCCAGGTGCAGTACTGTACATTTTATTATTTTATTGTCTTTTTCAATTATTTTCTTTAACTCTCGTTAGTGCCCAGAGTTGAGTGGGCTACCATATAAACTGAACAAATAAATAAGATGTAACCCATTGCAAGCATCCTTTTGAAACCTTTTAGCTTTCTTGAATGGATTCTATGGCTATAATTATAAATTGTAACAATAAATAACTATTTAAATCTTGGGTTTTGCATAATAGGGAAGGCAAGTATACAACCTGCTGTTGCTTCTTCTCTGCAGCTAACATTAGATATAATGCTGTCACAGTTATAATTATGACATGAAAAATATTAGTAGATTAAAAGATATATGCATCATATGGTCCACAATAAATAAACAGAGCAGGTTTTCTTTTCTTTTTTCTTCCTTGCAGGGACAGATCCAATAACTGTGACAGTTATCTTCCTAACAGTATTGGCATTCATCATCTTCTCCAGTTGTATGATAGCTTGTATTTATCACCGGATCAAACGTTCCTTTTGCCCTTCTTATTCTTTGCCACAACATTTCATTCAGGTTCGCATATTGTGCAGTATGTGTGTGTGTGTGTGTGTGTGAAGATAATTGGTATAATTTACCAAACAATGTGATGCATACTGCTTTCATGGTCAAAGATGTGGACATAAGCAAACCTCTTTGTCATTTTGCTTAATTTAAATCCACTTAAATTGTAGTGCTGATAATTTTGGTCAGGGTTTAGCATAACAGTCTTCAGGTGATAAAGTAAAATAACCCATTATTTCAATGATATACAGGGAGTCCTTGACTTATGACCACAACTGAGCCCAGAATTCCTGTTGTTAAGCGAGACATTTGTTAAATGAACTTTGCCCCATTTTATGACATTTCATGCCCCAGTTGTTAAGTGAATCACTGCAGGTATTAAGTTAGTGGCATGGTTATTAAGTTAATTTCGCTTCCCCATTGACTTTACTTGTCAGAAGGTTGAAAAAGATGATCATATGACCCTGGGACAATGCAACTGTCATAAATATATGTCAGCTGCCAAGCAGCTGAATTTTGATCACTTGATCCTGGGGCTGCTGCAATAGTCGTAAGTGTGAAAAATGGTCATAAGTCACTTTTTTCAGTGCCGTTGTAACTTTAACGGTCACTAAATGAATTGTTGTAAGTCAAGGACTACCTGTATTACACAGTGGCATTTACATAGCATATTAAGCTGAGAGTGAGTAGTGTTTGAGGTTTGTGAGTTGTACTTCAGCTTTCCGGTTTTCTAGAGCAGTATTTCACAAACTTGGCAACTTTAATTTGTGTGGGCTTCAATTTCCAGAATCCCCAGCCAGACATGTTTTTAAAGAATTTAGCTACGTTGGCTCAGGATTTTTGGGAACTGAAATCACACATCTTAAAAGTTGTCAAGTTTGAGAAACATTGCTCTAGAGAGCTAAAGAATGCACCCTGGAACACTGTAATATCACTGGAAGAGATATAACTGAATCTTTCTGGTTAGAGGGAAACAGCTAAAGAGAAGCTGAAATGGTGTGCAGTAATTCTTCTTTTTTTAAAATGAAAATCTTGCACTATTTTTATGTCCTCAGCTAAAGTCTCACAAATCTTCATTTGAGATTGCTCAGAACAGTGGTTCCAAACCTTTTCTATACCCGCACCACTGGAACACTTCTGATATACTATATTCTCGCACCCCTTACAAAACTTCAAAATAATGGCAATAAATTATGCATATACACTATAATTTTGAAAACCCAAGTTTGGAATATTGTGAGCTCCCCTGGTTGGGAACCCACGGCTTAGAAGATTTGGGGAGGGTTCTACCATATAAGATTCTGCAGGAATTTTTGCAATCTGAAAAGATTGCTAATTCTTGCTATAGTTGATGAAGTGTGTGCTTGCTTTTCTTTCCACTGAGAAGTACAGCTCAAAACAGAGAAGCACAAATGGACTTACTGATTTCAGTTGGTAACTGCCTGCATAATAGTATCCATTAGTGCAGTCTTTCTTAGCCTGGACTCTGAGTGGTCCCTAGAGGTTCCTTGAGAGATAGTGTTGGGGAAAAAAATGAACAGTTTTTTAACTTCATGAATTGCCAATGCTAGCAGTTTCAAAAATGGGAAGTTTTATGTATCATGTCTCAGCTTCAGACCTACCACTTCACTGTCATTGTAAATGTAAAATGTGGATTATATGGATTAGAAGTGAATTGTGTTGCAAAATCTTCATATTTTTTGCAATTTTTATGCAGGGGCTCCTTGTGATCTCAAAATTATCCCAAGGATTCCTCTGGGGTAAAAAAACTGGGAAAAGCTGCATCAGAGGCTCAATGAGACAGTAGAACTTAAAAGGATTGTGCTGAGCCCTTTTTCTGTAGATGAGCAACTATCATTCATTCGCCCTGTTTGCCAAGATTCATGATAATGTAATTTAAGATTTTTGCAAGAGTGCAAAAGAGGATGGTTGGGCAATGATTGTCTGATACATAATTTTTAATTATAAGTAGGTTTTTTAAAAAACATGAAATTATTGAAATCTAACTGGCTGAATCCTGTGGGATGAAACTTCAGAGGGTATTCTGACTTAAAATATTTCTCAAAAGAAGATGGCTATTTCTAATCTATTTCTTTGTCTTCATCCACAGTTTTTAAGCCATCCTTCTCATAGTTCACTATTTTTTGAATCCCAGCCAGAGGGAGAGGATCATAACTATGATATACTTATTGTTCTTTTGGAGAAGTCCAAACAGTGCAATAGTGAATTGGAAAATAAAACAATTAACATCAAACAGGAGCTGCAAGGATCTCAAGAAGACACCTTTAAACCTAAAGAAATTTCAAACTGTACAACTTTGCTTCAAGTTTGAAACTTGGGAATAATATACTGTACTTTAAGGAACTTATTGGAATTTACAAAAGGAACACTTTGCACATTATCAAGTCATTAATGGTGGAGTTTTTTTACTTGATAAAAATTTTATATGATTTTCTATTTTGGAAATTTATTTATACTAAAGCAGTGATTCTCAATCTTTCTAATGCCGTGACCCCATAATACAGTTCCCCATGTTGTGGTGACCCCCAAGTGGGTGTGGCAACCAATAAGAAGGAGTAGGACAGCTAAGGAAAAGGGAAAAAATGGCGGACAGCATGGTTTGGTGACCCCCGTGAAATGGTCATTTGACCCCAAATGGGGTCCCGACCCACAGGTTGAGAACCACTGTATTAAAGCCTTAATTTTAGACTAAAATGTAATAAGCAAGTTCAAGTTATTAAAATTGTATAACATTTAAAATATTCTGAATATACTTTATTCAGTAGTGTTTGCTCTATTATTTTGAAGAGCATTTGACAAAAATAAAAGTATTCTTCTAGACTTTCGTTTGTGTTTTCTTTATTTTATTTTTTATTTAATTTAATATAACTTGAAGGCTACCTAACTCATTGTCTATATATGTTGTTTATTGAATTAGAAACAATCAGGTTTTATGAGATACACAGCTAGTAGAAATGTACAGTATATGCAGTTTGTTACATTTAAATCCATTCTAAAACAGTTGAATTAGGATCACAGTTTTTAATTTCACAATCTATTTACAAATTCCCATGCTTTCATTTTTAATTAAATAATAATCATCAACAAATAACCTATGTTGTGCACAAGATTTTCCATATTAATAAGACTAATAGGAGTTCTGGTTGTACTTGATGATTGCATTCACTCCCAGTTTGTTCCTGAACTGATATTATTTGTTGTTTCTTTTTATAATAATTTGTATTGAAATTTAAATTTACAAAGACAAAAAAATGAATACAAACGAAGGAGAATATAAACAAGAAAAAAATAGAAAGTGCAAATATATATATTTGCCGTATTGCAGGCTAATTCAGCTCACTGACAGGAGTTCGAGCCTGACGAGGCTCATGGTTGACTTGGCCTTCCCTCCTTCCGAGGTGGGTAAAATGGAGACCCAGATTGTTGGGGGCAACATGCTAACTCTGTAAACTGCTTCGAGAGACCCCTAAAGCACTACAAAACTATATATACCGTATGTCTAAGTGCTAATACTATAAAATAACTAAACCAGATATATGTATGTGTGTGCTTAAACAAATGTTTAACATTTCATCAAATTTAAGAAAAAAATCCATCAATAGCTATTAGAAAAAATTGAAAATATTAATCTTTAAGCCCTTTCAATAATGTTCCTCAAATTAATTTTTTATCTTTTTCATCTTGATCATAATATCATAGCTTATCACTTTCTCTAAAAATACAATAAAACTCTCTTCTCTTATCTTCCTCATAAACAAATTTTTAAAGCCTCATCATTCAATTCTGGTCAAGAAAAGCCCATTAAAAGCTGTCAGAAAACAGAAGGTCATATACAATTTAATTCTGAGTAAAGAGGCCCATTTTGCAAGCCTTCATTTTAGTTTTAAAGATCTTGCTCATTTATTTTAGGTAATGTTCCAAAAACTATTTTTTGTTTTTCTCAAGAATCCCTTCATACGTGGGTATGACACACATCCTTTTTAAATCCCCCCCCCCAAAAAAATGCCAGAGTCACATTTCTGAATTTAAAATCCATGTATCCATGTCATTCTTCTGGTTTATTATTTGTATATCCATTTTAACCAATGAAATAATAGCCAGTTTCATTTGTTGATATTGTATAACATCTTTGTTAATATCATTTTTACATCCTGTAATCTTAAATCCATATCCCCAAAACCTGATTTTCAAACTAGACTAGAAGATCTAGTCTAAAGAATAAATGCTGGGTATTTTGTTGCCAAATATCTTTAAATTCTTGCAGAATTAAAATATTATTTCTGGTTGCCTGTAATAACTATCCGTCAAGCTGTCCTCTCATGTTTTTTTTTCTCATCCAGAATATTTCCCAAGAAGAACTAGCCTGGTAACTAAACATTCAGAAACCAAACCACAAGCTCTGAGAATGAACCTTCACCCTCATTGGTATTCTCTGTTTCCTCTTTTGGTTTCCTACTTAAAAATGAAGATACTGGGTTAAGGTACTTCCCAGTTGCCTAGGATGTAAATGTTTTTCACAGGTTGACAGAAGCTGTATATTTGATACCTAACCAGCCTATTTCATATCCGGAGGCATTTTCTTGGCATGTGAAACTGATGAAAAGTAACTATTAATCTTATAAAAATTAGCATTTAGGAGCCAAATGATAATATGAATATCTAAGAATTCTTTTTACAATGTAACACCTTAGGTGAGTTAACCAATTAATCCAGTTATAGTGGAAGCTGCTTATAAGAAGGGCAATTTGATTAGTTTGCCTCTTTCTTGGGGGGGGGGGTGCCCTCTTCAATGATGTGATTTTATTACTAAGGAGTTGGTTGCTGTATAATCAACTCTGCCTTTGTTTGAGTTCTATTTGCCTCATCAGTTTCTAACAGCCCACCCTTCAGTTTCTCCCCAAAATAGTGCATTGTCTTTGAGAAACATATTGTAAAGTCCTCAATGTTTTGATTCAGGAAAAATTCTCAAAGAGGCCTGACAAAGTTTTAAGTATCAGTTATGTTTGCTTAGTAAGAACTGATGGCCAAATCTGGCCATAGGTTCATGCACCAGAATGCCAGGTCCCCAATTATGCAAGCTGGGACAGGAAGATCATTTAATTACAATTTATTCAGAACATTCTGATAAAAGCGAATCCTCTCGTGCAAAGAGAGAACCGAGGTATCAACTTGCATTCTCTTTTATAGTTAACACATCAAACACATCTCCCTCCCCCTTTCCATAGGAAATCAGTTACATGAAGTCAAACATATTACCTGTTTAAACCCCATAACACTAAGCATGTTCATTCATATAAGCTTCAAGGAACCTGCGGGTGTAGAATTTAAGATGTTAATGAGGAAAAAATATCACAAGGTTATCTAGAGTCCACAGAGAGACAAACCTGATATCAATATACACTAAAGAGTTCTCTATCTTATCGGAAGACAACTACAGCATTCTTTTAAGACAACACTCTATGATCCTATCCTCCCCTGGAGAGCAAAGATACTTTATCTTTCAGTTCAGGAATGTTACAAAGTATTAATCAATCCATCTGCAGTAACAGGTAAAAAGCTTGCAATAGTGGTGAATATCTGTAGCTCTGGTGTAGGATGAGGGTGAAGGTTCCTTCTCTGAGCTTGGTTGTCGGGAATTTATATAAGTATAATACCGAAAGTGTCTAAATTGATAGAAGAGAATATTTGAGGTTCAAGATTGAACTCTGGGGTCCTCGGTGCTGTCTCAGCTTGGTGGTTTTCTTGTAGACGTCCCATTACCAAACTAGGTGACATCGGTGCTAGCATCACCAGTGCTAGAGAGCACCAAAGATCCCACAGTGTCTGGATGTTTAACTATTCAAACCTCATTCTAATATATTTGTTTGAAACATGTGCTTTTACTCCATCTGACCCATTCTGTTTTGACACCTTCCCTAATAAAAGAAGGTCTAAGTGTATTTCCAGCTTTTCCCATCTCAGAAAGAGTAAGATTTATACTCTTACTTTCTATAATCGTTTTGTTTTTAAAATCAACCTTTAAACTCCTCCCCCTTTATTCAGAATGAGGCTGAAAGATAGTACAGAAATAGTACAGTCCTCCAGTTCAGCGCAGTCCATTTCTTAGATTTATATTGTTGAAAGCAACAGTGATCCTAAGAAAGATAGATAGATACCCAACGATGAGTCCTGTATTATTTATACATCGTGTTGTCTAAGAAACCGTGTTTCCATCATTTGCATCTACTCAGATGAGTAGCTCTTTCGGATTTCCGAAGCAGCCAAAAAATTTTAGCTCGATTATCGGGCTGTCAAGGCACAACCTAAAATTCAGCTGAATGTTCTTTTACGTTCATGCCATTGCGCAATGCTTTTATGTAATCTCGCGCAACAGAAAAGGAAAAAATGCAAGTGAAAAACAGTAAAAAAAAAAAAAAAGCGTGCTCCTCTGTACTTTCTATATTCTATGTGAATACAGGGTTCCTTCCGAGGGTGCTGGCCGCATCCTAGTGGTTGCAGCCCGTCCGGTCATGTGACGTGACTGTTGGGGGGACGGCCACAATAGCAGCCGGAGATTATCGGCGTTAGTCCATGGCTACTCGTATCGCTTCGGAACGGCGCTTAGCTGGAGCGAGGCATGGAAGGGGCGAGGCTGTGGTTTGTGGTGGCAGCCGTGCTGAGAATGGGGTCGAGGACTACGGGTAAGTTCCTTCATCTTTCTCCTTTCTGGTCTGCTTTTAATGCCGTCTCGTAAAGAGATGGAATTGGTGCCCTTTTGGATGTAATGGATAACAGAATAACTGAGTTGGAGGGGACCTTGGAGGTCTTCTAGTCCAACCCCTTTCTCAGGCAGAAAACGCTAAACAGTTTCAGACAAATGGCTGTCCGATACCAGTGTTGGAGCACCCACAACTTCTGAGGGCGAGTTGTTCTACTGATTAATTATTCTGTCAGGAAATTTCTCCTTCTAGGCTGCTTCTCTCCTTGCTTAGTTTCCATCCATTGCTTCTTGTCCTGCCTTCAGCTGCTTTGGAGAATAGCTTGACTCCCTCTTCTTTGTGGTAACCCCTGAGATATTGGAACACTGCTATCATGTCACCCCTAGTCCTTCTCTTCATTAAACTAGACCAGTGGTTCTCAACTTGTGGATCGGGACCCCATTTGGGGTCAAACGACCATTTCACGGGGGTCGCCAACCAATGCAGTCTGCCATTTTTTTCCCCCTTTTCCTTAGCTGTGCTACTCCCTTTTATTCTATTGGCTTTTGAATAGAGTCTAATTCTATTGGCTTTCAAAAGCCAATAGGAATTGTCCAGGCTGTCTCTGCCCTGCTGAGCCCACCAAAGGTCCCATTCTGCAAACGGTGCTGCACCAGTTGAGTAGTCCTCAACTTACGATCAGTTGAGTAGTCCTCGACTTATGACTAGTTGGGGGTCGTGGCATTAAAAAGGTTGAGAACCACTGAACTAGACATACCCAATTCCAGCAGCCATTCTTTATTTGTTTTAGCCTCCAATCCCCTAATCATCTTTGTTGCTAATAGATAATTAGATCATTTTTTAAAAAAATTGTTCAGATTCAAAAGTGGACAGCAGCAGGGATGAGTGTGTGTATCATATTCTGAGCTCACGCGTGAGCCATGGGGAGAGAAAGCTATTGGGAGAAAAAGTTGGTAGCGCTTCCGCTTTATTGGAAATAACAGTGTCATCTCTTGGGATAAGAGGAGGGATATCCCGGAATGAGAGTGATCATTTCCTTGCTCAGCCTTTGAGAAACAGCCTGTTAACAGCCAAGGTATCAAAGAATTGGGCTCAATGGAACCGAGATTGTCTTTTGAAAAAAAGGCTGAAGGCCACGAAGAAATAGCGGCCTTTTCAACTGTGGCCCCTTTGCCCCGATCTCATTGTGGTGAAAATACCAGCCTCCCTACAAGTCAACCACAGCATCAGGGTATCAGCATAAAGGCTGATCTGAAGAAGGAGCAAGTGCAAGGCAGCAGGGTTGGAGCAGAAAGTTAAGGGAGACAGCAGAAAGTTGAGGGAGACAGCAGATCCCAGAGGAGGATGAAGAGAAGACTTCATAGAAAGCAGATTACCCTTATCAGGCCACTATAAACAAACTCCCGCACCCTTTTGTGCTACCTGGCTGGGACTCAGTTCCTTGCCCAGGTGGAGAAAAGGGCCGGTCCTTCATATTGGAAAGCTTTACTGAAAGGGAAGAGTTGTCAAACTTTGGCAACTTTTAAGAGTTGTGGATTTCAGCTCCCCAAGCTCAAAGTGCTGCAGCCAGATCAGTTTAGCTCCTTGGTTAGACATCTCATCTTGAACATTATTTTAAATTTTAGTTTGGACTGCTGAGGCTCCAAGTCATGTTTGTGTTGTCGACCCCTATCCTTAAAAGTTTAGGAGACTAAGAAGAATAAATGTCAATTAATTCTTTACATCTTTGGAGACTCCAGTGTTTACTCTCTTTTACTCGCTCCCCACCTCCATAGAAATAGTCCTCCACCTACAACTATTTATTTAGTGTTAGTTCAAGATTACAGCAGCAGTGAAAAAGCTGGTTTATGACTGTTTTTCACATTTGTGACCATTGCTGCATCCTTGTGGTCATGTGATCAAAATTCAGATGCTTGCAAATTGGTCTATATTTATGATGGTTGCAGTGTCCTGGTCTGTTGGGGGTCATGTGATCACCTTTTGCGACCTGACGAGCAATGGGGAAGCCAGATTCATTAACAACCATGTTATTAACTTAATAACTGCAGTGATTCACTTAACAACTGTGGCAAGAAAGGTTGTAAAACGGGGCAAAGCTCAACTGTCTTGCTTAGCAATGATCATATGGGGCTCATAAGTCAAGGATTAACTTTATCTACAAAGTTTTCTGCCACACTGACCATCTTTCAAGGTGACAGTCGGTTTCAAAAATTCTGGTGCTCAACTGATTTCAAAAGTTAGGGTGACCAAGACTTTTTTTTTTAGGTTGCAGGCTTTTCATCACAGTGCAGTTCCATCAAATCCTTCACTAAAAAAACCTTCCTATAATAACATAAATGATCTTTATTGTCTGTTATGATCTTGATATCTTAGGGACAGCATGGTTATAAGTGAGCTTTGTTCAAAGTGCAGGTAATCCCCGAGTTACGAGCATTCACTTAACACTTGTTCAAAGTTACGTGATCAGCGCCCCCTAGTGCTTACGAGCAATTCCCGAAATTACAACTATTACAGCACCACGGTAGTCGTTCACCCTTACGAGTGACCGCAGAGGCTCTGCAGTACAGTATTCACCTTACTCCCTTCCCCACTCCTCACAACTGCTTCCCCCTCCCTTCCTGCCATGCCAAAGTCCCATACCTTGCAAAATCTGTCTCCTTTCTGCCTCGGTTTCTTTCCTTTGAGGGAAGGAGAAAAGCTTGCAAATGCTTTTTGTGCTGACAATGAAGCTCCCGGGTGCCATAATATCACACGAGTTCAAACACCCATTCTTTGCAAAAGAGAGCATAGCCCTGGAAGCTTCCATTCTCGGTGGGGGGAGAAGTGTTTGCTTCATTTGCGTGCCTATAGAGCAAAGTGTTGAATCAGAGTCAGCCGGCCGCAGGAACCAATACTGTCAGTGGCCCGGCTGAGCTGTTCGCTTGCGTGCATCGGACTTAGTCTGAGGGCAGGAACGAAGCCTTCAAATGAGTGGGGAGGCATTGTGGAGCCACGTCTCTTGCACCTGCATCCAAGTTGGCAGCGGTAGCAACCACCTGAGCGGCCATGATCCCCCTCACCAGCCAGCCAGACCACTCTTCTCCTCCTCACTCAACCGGTGGCAGGAACTTGGGTTTCTCAGTTCTATCTGAGTAGACGAAAGCGGAGGCGCAGAAGCAAGACTGCTCTCAAACAATAAGACCCAGATGCGCTGCTTGCTTGTGTGCGCCGGCCTTATTGAGAGCAATCCTGCTGTGCCTCCGCTTTCCTCCACTCAGATGGAGCCGAGAAACCCAAGCTCCTGCCACTAATAAACTTCTTATCTGAAGGGAGACCTTGGGGAAACTGGATTCTGCCTCTGAACAAATGGGGTGGTTCAGAACGAAGCAAATTCGCTGCGTTTTCAAGCGTTACATTCACACTCAGATGGAGCTCCCCATTTCCCAAGATCTCTGTTGGGATAAAAGGTGTTTGAGCGTCTATGGGAGCCTTAAAAACGTAGCAAATCGCTGCATTTTCAAGTGTTTCATTCACACTCAGATGGAGCTCCTCACGTCCCAAAGATCTCCATTCGGATAAGAGGTGTTTGAGCAGCAGCAGCTTGAGTTTCTCTGCTCCGTCCAAGTGAAAATAAGCAGAGGCACACAGCGGGATTGCTCTCAATGAGGCCGGCACACGTGAGTGAGCAGCACACCCACATCTTCTTGAGAGCAATCCTGCTCTGTGCCTCCATTTTCTTCCTTTGGGATGGAGCGGAGAAACTCAAGCCGCTGCCACTCAAATCTCAGTCTCTCTCAGATCTGGGTTTGGATAAAAAGCATTTGAGCAGCAGTGGTCTCAGTGGGCCCTTCAGACCGGTCCTGACTTGTACAATCAGATGTATCCTTAGTCATAAGATGAAGGCTTTTCTCTTGCAGGCCTTCTCCAAGAAGGCATACTGGGATTTCCCCAGAGAGAGCATTATTTTATTTATTTATTTCCCACCTTTATTATTTTTTTTATAAATAACTCAATTTGGAGAACGTGCCTTTCTTCTATTTTCCCTGCAACACCTAAGAGAAAGTGACTGGCTCAAAATTACACAGTCAGCTTTCATGCAAAGGTGGGACCAGAACTCACAGTATCCTGGTTTCTAGCCTGATGCCTTAATCCCTAGGCAAAACTAGACAATTTCTTGAGGGTGGCAACACATCACATGGTCCTCTATCTGTTTCCAGCCCATTGCAAAGAAAATTTCTGCCCATCTTTTGCTGTTGCACATCAAAAGTAGAATTCTGTGACTTAGCGCAGTTTTCCTGTAGCACAAGAGTGTCAAACTGCCGGCCCATGGACCGAATGTATCATAGCAAAACTGCACCCACCCCATTGCCGGCAATGGCAAAAAAGTCGCAATATGTTGCAACACGTCACGTGACGTGGCGAGTTTGATACCCCTGCTGTAGCACATTTGGCTATGATTCAGTCTAAAAGATGCTTCAAGAATCTGCGTATGTAATTTCCTTTTCTACAAACAGTAATCTTGCTATTGCACATTTCATGCTTCCTGTGTTAGTCAGGAGTTAGCATTAATGAGAATAATCAAGTAAAAAACATAATGCAAATGTGTATATCTTGGATGATATTCAGAGGACCATGCTATTTTCAGAGAATAAATGCACTGAGGTGGATATTGAAGTTTTGTTTCTATGACTTTTTTCTATTTTGTAACTCTGTGTATTGATTGCATAGGTTCCTCATAGTCCCCTGGATTGGAGTTGCATAATAGTTAAATTAAAGTCACTACTTTAACAGAGGGGTCCTTTGAGATGGTCATTGGTGTAGGGAGAGAAGAGCATTGGAGAGAGCACACAGCCTGTGGGACACCTGTGTTAATCTAGGGGGTGCTCCATGTGATTTTCCATAGTTTCACCTGTTGCTTCCTATCTGTTATAAAGCTAATAATCCATCTACAAGTATGGGCAGGTACAGTTGGCTGAATCAGTTTGGAGTGAAGAATTTCTGGAATGATGGAATTGAATGTCAAGCTGAAGACTAAGAAAAGGACCCATGCATAGGTCCTTGGAGATTTGAGATGTTGCAAGATGTAGTGCAGGGCCATATTGACAGCATCGTCTGCTGATCTGTTTGTTCAGTAGGCAAGCTGCAAGAGATCTAACAGCAGTTCCATGATGATTTTCAGGTGGGCCAGCGCTAACCTTTCAAAGGTTTTCATAACTTCAGATGTCAGAGCAATTGGTCTGTAGTCATTCAGCTCCTTGATGGAGGAATTTTTGGGAACCAAGATGATAATAGAGCATTTGAAGCAAGAAGCACATCATTAGTGTTTATTAAAGCACAGCTTTTCTAGCAAAAAGGAGTTACTCCATCTGGGTCTGGTGCTTTTCCAATCTTTTGTCTATGAAATAGGCCTCACACATCTTTTTCTAAGATCACTAGAGGTGGGAGCCTAGAGGGTTGAAGGTAGGTGTAGGAGATTTGGCTACTGTTGGTGAATCTGAGATGGGGAAGATAGCAATAGTTGACAGTGATCTCCTTTCAAATATATATATGGATTTAAGCAGCATAGTCTTTTGTAATTGACAGCTGACAATTTTATTTTTTGCTCCAAGGCTTTTTGGTATGAACCCATTGCTGCCAGTAACCGTTGGGACCATCATTGCTGGTTTATGCCATAATCTTCCAGTTTGATTTTTCAGATCTTGATTCTTCATGATCTCCAGTTCTTTGTCTTGTATTCTACTGTTCCCTAATATTTATCTGCACTTTCTTCTTTTCAACCAGTTATATCTGGTGTGTTAGGAGCAAAGAATTTAATCAGTCTATATTGAGAAATCTCATAATATTTTAATCTGCTCTTTTTTACTTTTATTATGTTCTTTTCTAAAATATCCACAGGTTTAACATGTCTGGAACACCCACAAAATGTTGCCATCAGCGTTATTAATTCAAATATTACACTGAAATGGGATTGGGATAATCCATGTGGTCTCAATGTAACATTTTCAGTACAATACCACAGGTAAGGATACATTTTGTCCTGTTTTGCAACACTTTTGAATGGAATTCTATTTTGGTTAAAATTAGGCAGATGCATGGAACACGCAGCATATACATTTTCTGTTCCTTTAAAACAGGAATAGTAATGAATAACATTGTACATGTGTAGAAGTGTTCTTGATGCTTTCAAGGCAGGCTTATCAGGTTTTTTAAATAAGGTATATTTTTTACGTGTGGGGCAAGCTAGAATATTGCAAGGACAGGAGTTATTTCCATAATTTTCCATTGATCAAGGAATTCTGGCTGGCAGAGCCAAGGAGAAGAGCCTTTTCTGCTGTGGCTCCTGCCTGCCGGAATACAGTGCCACCCCCCCCCCACGCCCCATGGTGGAGATGTGCACCCATCATTTTGGCCCTAGGGCCTAAAAACCTGGTTCTGCCAATGCCCTGGGTCCCCAGTAGCAATATGGGATTCTGGAAGTATTTAATGGATTAAGATAGGAGCCCATTGTTGTCCCCAATTGGGGTCTCAGCCTGGTGCTGAGGCTGAGGAAGATCACCAGACACGAGGTGCAGGTTTTGTTTTCTTTTATTGAAGCGCTCCAAGAAAATGCCAAGGAACCTCAAACCACAGAATTAAGAAAAGTTTTATACATTTTCACTAGAGCAAAAGATGGGATAAGGCGGGATATATAAATAATGTCATCTAATAAGCATGTTAATAGTGACCTAACAATTATTCTATTGGTATCTAGCCATCCCTATTCCTAAGCCTTGGCTAATGAATGCTTCAGGAATTATTTAATACACGTTTTATTTGCTCCAGGCCATCTCTATTCCTAACTTTTAGCCGAGTCTACAAAATGCCTCTTTGTTACTTTTATCAGCTTTCTAACCACCCAGAATTGTGACAAGCTTTACAGATGCATATTCCCTCTGAAAAAGCATTCTTTGTTCTTGCCAGAAAACTCCCCAATTACAGACTTCCTGGTCTCCTTTCAAGTGTACACCATAATATTGCTTTGTTTTGGCAATCAGCCCATCACCATCTCTTTCCCATGTGCATCTTGTTCCTTCCTCTCTATATTTGTCAGTTTTAATTCAAACTTAATGTTACTATTTATTGTTTTAATGTTTTATACTGGCATTTCATTAAATGATTGTAAGCTGCCTAGAATCTCTGTTGATGATATGGGCAGCATATAAGTTTAATAAATAAATAAAGCAAGGAAGCAAACAAGCTAGCCTCCAGGATCAATGTAGGTGTAATAACATTCTTTTGTTTTTTTTCATGAATGATTGGTTCCCAGCATTTTATTTGAACAAGACTTTTTGCTTTCCCCCACCCCCCAAATTATTCCAGAGAGTCTGAAATCTGGGCAGCTATTCCTCAGTGTCGGAATATAATCGTCACAGAATGTGATCTCTCGTCAACAATTCAAGATTATTTAGTACCATATAATGTGTCTATAAGAGTGAACACTCTGAAAAATCACTCTCTCTATGCCTTTTTAGAATTTATTGCTGATACAGAAGGTATGAATCTTTGCCTTGTTTACTCACATTAGAAAACAATGTTGGTAATTAAATGTACGTTTTTGTTTTACTTGTCTCAACAGGCAACAGCAGTATCTTAGTGATTTAGAAGCTAAGCAATATCGGACCTCATTAGTAGTTGGAGAAAAGGCCAGACGTGATTTTCCCTTCCCATGGGAGAATGCCAGTAAGAAAATAGATTTTATTGTGTGAAAGTTTAAAGAATTCTGGAAAACTCCTTCAGTTTTGTTTTGTAATGTTCCTGATAAAAGAGTTTTCTAATACAAGTTGGGCCTTCACATAATAAAACACATTTTCTTACAAGCATTTGAGACATTCCTTTTCCTTTTGTTTCTGATTAAAACCCAGAGAAATCTTTTAAAAAATTAAGGCAATAGCAATTCTCTTGCACTATGTCAGAGGCACCAAATGGTTTTCCATGGGACTCCTAGGAGTTGAACTGAGTTGAAAGCATCTGTACCACTGCCTTTCTATTGCTTCATAATGTCCAGGCTTTAAGTTGCCATAACATTGGTTTCTATTGGAGTTACCAAAGGATTATTAGAAAAGCTTGTCCTTTCTTCCTGTTCCACCATACAGTAGAACTTTTGAATTTTTAAGAGATGCTTTGAGGGTCAAAATTGTTTATCTTTCTTAGGAGGACAGAGAATGGAATATAGGAGATTATACTGTTTTCTTAGGAAACTATTCATTATCCCCCATTCATCTGTTTATCAGACAGCTTACTTTTGGACAGATTTAAGTATCAAGTCCTTTCTCATACCCATTTCTTATCTTTTTACTACTGGTGGTAACCCTTCCCTTTTTACTCACTCGCTATCTCTTTAAGACTAGCAAACACACTTTCTTTCCAACATATCGTTTTTCAATTTTGCATTAGTCAACTTCCTTGCATGCCAGACTGTCTTTCTCTTTGATATACAAACATTTCCCAAGAACTCTGTGATTATATCTCAATCTTTCATTTAAAACATAATGAATGTTGCAAAAGAAGCAGGCTCTTTCTTTCTGCCTACTCTGCATTCTAAATCACAGTTCTTCTTTCTGCAAGAAATGTGCTATTGCTATTTTCTTAATTTCTTAAAAGTATAGCTAGAAATATCCATATTTGTTCCTTCTTGGGCCAACATCAGAGGAAGAGTGAGGCAGAAGGACCATCTCTTAATGTACAATCACGGTGAACCCTCCTAATGTATGTTTTGGCCCTTGTTATTTGATTTTAACTTCAATGCTAGAGAATTTACAGAATAAAGCCTGCAGTACTTCATGCTCTCCAATTAAAGTTTGCAGTTATATTTTAAATATAAAAATAAGTAATATATAGAACAGGAGTAAGAAGCCTGCCCGAGTCTTGGGATCACATTTAACTTTTCATGGGGAATACATATAATAAGATTATGAAGTGGTGGACTCTGTTGTGCATGCAATGTATCTCCATTCTCCGTTCTGAAAGACAGTTGGGGGCAGGGTTATGTTGTATGTTTTGGTTTTATTAAAAATACAGTGTTAGGGGATCTTCTGCCATTTGTATATATTTATGCCTCACAATAAGAAATTACACTGCAAATTTTGGACTTTTGTATCAGAAGTCCATAGAACAATTAGAAGGATTTCCAGAATCATTATGGGTGTTTTAACATCCTTTGTGAAGGAGACCAACATTAATTATGAATATTGTTCAGTAAAACATGGTTAAAACAATCTATGACTTAGCATGATGTGTGAACATGGTATTATGATCAGAAAGAGTAGTCCTGCATACTCTTTTCAGTGATGGCCTTCCATTGAACCCTCTAGTGATGTAATCATAAAAGTCCTCTCTTTTATCAATAGGAAACGGAACTCTTGCCCAATCAAACGTGGCTTATCCCATACTATCTCAGCCCTTAATAGCTGAATAGAATTTGAACCTGCATTTTTTTTAGTCTTTCATACTTCTCACAACACCATATTAGTTGTTAGCACATTTAATTAGCACTTTTTTAACAACTAACAAGCTTCCTGCTTTTATAGTGGTTCAAACTAGTCTTTCTCCCATCTTACTTTTGTCATGGCCCAGGATTCAAGACTCTGAAGAAGCTGCTCCAGCTGAACCAGTAGAATGACAATCTCGTGGCCCTCAAACCAGGCATCACCCAAGGCTGTTCAAATACAGGCACCATTAGACCAGCTGCAGCAGTCAGATAATAATAATAATAATGATGATGATGATGATGATGATGAAGTTGGAAGGGACCTTGGAGGTCATCGAGTCCAACCCCCTGCTCAGGCAGGAACCCTACACCATTTCAGACAAATGGCTGTCCAGTCTCCTCTTAAAAACTTCCAGTGTTGGAGCATTCACCGCTTCTGGAGGCAGGTTGTTCCATTGGTTAATTGTTCTAACTGTCAGGAAGTTTCTCCTTAGTTCTAAATTGCTTCTCTCCTTGATCAGTTTCCATCCATTGCTTCTCGTCCTGCCTTCATGCACCTTGGAGAATAGCTTGACTCCCTCTTTTTTGTGGCAGCCCCTGAGATATTGGAACACTGCTATCATGTCCCCCCTCGTCCTTCTCTTCGTTAAACTAGACATACCCAATTCCAGCAACCGTTTCTTATATGCTTTAGCCTCCAGTCCCCTAATCATAAAAGCAGCTGGCTGGAGCTTGATTGAAGAGGCAGCCCTGACACATGTGTCTCTCCTGGAAACAGCTGTCAGATCTCTGGAACGCTGACTTTTAGAATGGCTGACAAACCTGCCTTAGCTCTCTGAACTTCACAATGGATTTGGCTTCCCTTTTGTATGTTATGCTGAAAGTGAAACTACATAGATAAGCTTTCCAAGAGACTCTGTTTTGATTTACATTCCTTTCCTTGCCTGCCATTATCTATTCAGCTGTGAGGAAATTGCTACTCTCACCTAGGAACCGAATGAGATTGAAATATGAAACAGGGCAACTTTGATCATTCCCTTTTTTTAAAAAAAAATACATTTTTTCTTTGCACCTTATGGATAAGAAATGACTGATTGTCCACAATGGCAACCATTGAGTAGGATTACCAGGTGCCATATTCCAAAGCAGTTGTCTTTTTTCTACCAGCTGTCTCTCATTTGGGGCCTACACTAACCACTTGAACCTATTTTTTTCCTAGATCTTTCTTGGTCATTGGGTTCTAAAGTCTTTATTGCTGCCTTCTAAATAATTAACCTGCTTTTTAATTTCTTAATTATTTCCATGGCATAAAGAGGAAATTTATGGAGAACCAGATGAAGCTAACTAGTATGCTGGGGTAGAAATGAAATCAGTGGAAACTCAGTGGTAATTCTTGGGCTTTTGCCAAGGATGCTTGGTACTGTCACTGACTTTAGTCCCATCCTACTTTTTTTAGCTACTATTAAACACAATGAATCATTCTATTTGTTGAAAAGTGGGGGAGCAGGTGAGCAAGAGGAACGATGCAAGGACAGGGAATAAGGTATGCTGATTGTATCTGTTCTCATCTTGGACCAAGATATAGGTACTGTTTCTAAGCAAAGGTTTTGCAAATTTTTGATTAAAAAAGCTTCAATAAATATTTGTTCTTTATTTGTTTTTAATGATATGTTTCATTCTGCTGAACTGGAAACAGTACTTATGGTTGGATTCACACATTACATCATGCCTTTTTTTAACCATGATTTGTGGACTAATTCATAATCACTTTGGCATTCCACTATGCTGAAAACAAACAGTTTCATCTTACTTTATTTTTGTTTTAATGATTCTCATGAAAAACTTCACAGAGTAAGAAAACTCTTAAAAAAATAAACCTACCTCTAAAATAACCCAGATACAGATTCAGAATTATGCAAAAAATATGCACAAACGTGTCTACCAAATTAAAATCTTCAGTTGCAACGTGCTCTCTTCCTGTGCTCATTGACATAAAGTGGTCTTGATTGCACTCTTGAAATCAGGATAGGAAAGAATAGACAGGATCTCCGTGGGGAGGCAATTGCGGTATGAGAACAATAATCCACATGTCAATTTCTGAGACTCTGTCAGCTGGATTTCTTGTATAGTCAGGATCTGGAGAGTATGGACCGTATTCAACCTGATTAGATAGGCAGATTAATATGGGAGAAACCAATCCCACACATAACCTAGTCCAGAGCCACATAGGGCCTTAAAGATAATTGACAGCACTTGCAAACCAACCAGCAACCAATGCAGCTGCTGAAGTTAAGTGGTCACCAAAAGGTATTGTAAGTGTATTGTAGGAATGACCTTGGGAGACAGGGCAAAGAGATACAGCCAAGGGAGTGGTTATTTAAAAAGCAGGTCTATGGTTGTCCTGGTGATCATTAATTCCTGGGTTATTCTAGGGAATGCAAGTTGTAGACACTGAACACCACTTTGGGGGATTCTGTTGCCACCTTAGCAGTTGAGCTGAGCAGCCCTGGCAAGGATACTGACAGGGATGGGGAAGAATGGGACACAGTAGCAAATCGAATGACCTTTTGAGTCTAATCACACAAACAAATTCATACATCCAATTTGGGAAATAGTACATCTTGATGCCAGTATGAATGACAATAGCTATCCCACCCTCTTCTATCCTGATTTAGTACAATGTGTAAATATTCCAGAGTGACTACTATTAATCTTTTCTGATGATATTTTCATCTATAGCTCAAGTGGGTCCTCCAGGAGTTTGGTTTGAATCAATATATGGAGATGTAAAAATCAATATTTTACATCCTGAGGCAGATAAAAAAAAAATGTGGAAACTAGAAATATTAAAATATCAGCTAACTATCTGGAAAAATGGAACCCATTATCAGGTAACATGTTTGTTTCTTATATGATTAATATTTGCTGAGAGATGTGTGTGTGTGTGTGTGTGTGTGTGTGTGTGTGTGTGTAAACCATTATGATTGAAATATACATGAAATGGGTTTCTACATTTCTCTCAGAAATACAAATTTTTCCAAAGTGTACTTCTTAACTATTTGCTCAAAAATTGTCTTGAATTCTGGGGCATTTTTTAGTATATAAAAATAAGAGCAAACCTTACTCCCTTCTAGGATTGATGATGTTACCTAGTTTGGTAATGAAATGTCTGCAAGAAAACTATCAATGAGCACCAAGGAGCCCACAATAGCATTTTCTTTTAGTATACAAATGTGGAATTTCGATAGAGCTACATTGTGCTTGACAAATTTCTTGTTACCTCTGAGAATTAGATCTGAAATAACTTAAATATTCAAGCATGTATGTTCCCTCCTTGATTCTTTCCTAGCAAAATCTGCCAGCTGGTGGCATAGAGTTTACAACAAGAGGAGTTCATGGCCTCCATGGTTAGCATGAATCTGTCACAAATCATTGCTGATGTAATTAAAAAATAAAAGTTGAACATTAGATCAGTTTTCCCCTCCTCAGGGCCAGTTGATCAAATAGAGGAGGAGATTAGCATCAGTCTGTTACCATGGACAGATCACTCTACAGCAGGGGTAGTCAACCTTGGCTCTTTTATGACTCGTGGACTTTAACTGGCTCTACAGTCTTCTAGAATGTTGGTGCATCTTCCCCTTTGGGGAGACAGGGCTTCACCCAGACAACTGCTGGACCGAATGGGATACCAGAGAGATCACGGGTGTCTAGTGGATTGTTCAACCAAAACCCTAATTGCTGTCTAGAATGGGTAGGTGGCATCACCCTAATGTGATCTCAATCTGTGTCCCAATCCTGGGGCACACCTTGGTTTACTGACGAGCTTTGGGAGATGACATGGCAGAAGAAACTCCTGGCCTGATGTTGGAGGAGGATGTGGAGTGGGTCTGTTCAAATATGAATAAAACTTCATATTAGGGATTATATTGTTGTGGCAATAAGGGTGGCAAAACATCAATGTTTCTTCATTCTTATTGGATTTGTAGACAGTTGTCCAGTGTCCCTGTTGAGGGTGACCCATGCCCTACTGGACAGGGACAGGCCACAGGATATCTGCAGGGTTGCTGGAAGGAATGTTTTGGCTGTCTGCCAGATAAAGTCTCTCAAATCCACTATGCCTTGGACTCCAGCTGGGCAAGTCCAGCCAAGATGCCTGGGACTCAGTCTTGTGGGATGATCTGGGATACGTTTTAACCATGAATACTGCTTATAACTGAAGCCCTGCATAACTTCATAAATGTTTGATCTTTCATTATTTTTATACACTCAAATTTATATCATTCTTGCTACATAAAGAAAAATGATTGGCTGTGTTTACCTGTAGTCAAAGTTCCTCCCTGATTCATATTTTTATTTAAAAGCAGAAGGATGATGGAGTGGAAGAGTGATAATTAATTCTTTGCTGTGTTTCTGTTCAGAATTGCCCTGTCTCCTCTCCTCATACTGTTGATTTTTCCACAAGGGAAAAATATAACATATGTTCATCGTTTTGCCCTGCAGTGGCAGATGGCATTTTGATGTGAGAAACAGTAAACACTCCCTCATGGGGTAGCTGCTCTGTTATGAACAATATGGGACTTCTACTTGGAAGATAGATTAGATATTAACTGCTCTCACCAGTGCCAAAACACTCCCTTTCAACCTCACAATTCAAGAAAGATAAGCAGTGACATCCCTAGGAAGAGACCTGAGTGTCATCATCTTGCCAGCTGATAAAGGAAGATGCATAGTAGTCCTGAATACAAATGACTACAAAACCAAGGTGAACGGTTTACTGAAGAGAGATCCTGCCAACAGTTATAAGAAGTTTATGAATTGGACTTCCGGTTTGCTGATGCGGCCACCATGGATGCTCGGAAGATGACTCTCATCTTCCACTTCCAGTTTCGCATTGTGGGGGGCCCTAAAAGGGTTGAAAAGTCACCCCAGAGCGGTGACCAACAAGGAGGAGCTTTTGCAAGATCATGGGAGAGTGGTAGCTCTCCCGTCAGTGCCTGCATTCCCTTTGAACCGGCAGACAAAAGACTGGCCATAGCAATATGGCTGATCACTAGGCTGTGGGCAGCCGAAGTTACGCCTACCATCAGGCAACATTAAAGCAGCGTGGAAGAGACTGGGTGAGATCTACCTCTCTTAAATTCCAACTATCTTTTTCTACCTAAACAAGCTGCTAAAGTACTTTTCCCCCCTGTGCAGAGGGAAGGGGGATTTTAGCCCTCCCTCCAGAAACAGCAGCAATTGAATATACAGGGGAGTTTTAAAAATGTTGAAAATTGGATCCCAACTGGAACTTTATTTTCTGAAGCTTGTGGATTAAAATATTTTTGATTATCTACTTTTTACTTTCTATTTTTATTTGAAAGTCTGGGTTTTTCCTCTTAAAATAGAAGAAAAAAACAAAAGGATTAAAATAACTTTGAGATTTAAAGGGATTCCCTAAACAGTGGGGTGGCATCTTGTGGCTAAACCTGAAATTGCAATTTGTTATTCTTAAAGAAAAGAGACTTGGCTGACAGTTCAGAAAACAAAACAAGATTCATGTAACCTTGAACACCAGCTGTGAGAGTCTTAGCTGTGTTTCTTATTTACTGAGAAAAAAATTGTAAAAGTTTTTAGTTCAACTCATCACTATGGAAGACCAGGAACAGACTTTTCCTATGGAAGAAATGCAAAAACAAATTTTTGCTATGTTGAAAATAACTTACCAAACTCACCAAACTCTTCTTACAGCTGGTGATGAAATAAGAGCTTTCGGGGAAAAAACTAGAAAGCGTCTTAAATATGCAAACTCAAACTTTGACTATAACTAGAAGTTAATGAATTGACTTCAGCAACTACTGAAGAACAGTGCCATTGACAAGCCATAATACTCCTACCTTTACCCTGGGGAAGCCACTCCATGCATATATGGATTCCCCAAAATATACATAGAAGGAGCTCCATTCAGGCCAATTGTCAGCGGCATCAACTGAGTCACTTACGACATTGCAAGACATCTGTCCACCTTATTAGCTCCTCTGTTTGGCAACATCATCCATCACATCAATAACTCTGTACATTGTTAGCAAGGTTCAGAAACTAAAACTGAATCCTGATGAAACAATGGTTTTTATATGACATCACTTTTCACCTGCATTCTAACAGCTCAAGTAGCCACACTGGTGAGGAAACAACTACTACAAGACAACATATAAGGTGACAGAACCAATTTTAGCCCAGACTGCATATGTAATATGCGGGACCTCTGCCTGACCACCATTCTATTTCAAATACAACAAAGATTTTTTTTACAAACAAAAGCACTGCTGTGTTATGAGCTCACCTGTGTCTCCCATTGTGGCCAATCTCTACATGGAAGAAGTAGAATCAAAGGATAAACTCCTTCACAGGAACTCCACCCATCCATTGATATAGATCCATGGAGGATACTTGGGTCAAAATTAAAACATAGGAAGTGGAAGCCATCACTAAACACATCAATATGTGGACAGCAACATTGAATTCACACAGGAGGATGTTAAGGGACATAGCCTGGCCTCCCCGGCTACGCAGTGCATATAAGAAACCCACACACAGAGACCAATATTTACCTTTTGACTCCCACCACCTACTGGAGCACATACTGGAAGTAATCAGAATCTTACATCATTTGGCTGAAAGTTTGGCCACAAGCAAAGAGAGAAAACAGAACAAAAACATATCAAGGAAGCACTCAAAACTTGAAGCTATCCCAACTGTGTCTTTGTCAAATCCACAAAACGATCCAATAAGAACATATTCACTACAGACAGAGAAGGGGAGAACAACAAACAGAACAGTATTGTTATTCCATACAGTGGGGAGGGATGAAACTATTTTCTGAATCTCATTTTTCTACACAGTGTCTTTCAAGCCTGGCAACCTTAAGAGATCAATAACATATGTTATCTTATTTTAACTTTTTGCAACAAGAATTGTCAACGTTGTAGTATTACAAGATAGTAATATAATTACTACAATAATAATAACTCTAACAATAAATTCAATTGTCTCTCTTTAGGAAAAAACACAATATATTTTTCCAGGTGAAATCATAGATGATCTTGAACCAGAAACTACTTATTGTTTGAAAGTTAAAGCACTTGTGAATCAGCACATTTCTATTTACAGTCCCACGCACTGTATACAGACTTCTAAAGGTATGTATTTCTATGTGTTTATTTTAAGCATGGAAATCCCTTGAAACCTTTTTTTTTAAAGGAAACCATGGAATTTTACTTACAGTAATATGGCATTTGGAATCATATTGTCTCCCCTCTATTCTACTGTAATCAAGACATGGGAAAGGAGCTAGTCTGACTATTTTATCTATATCGCTTTCTATCAATCTTTCTTGGAGATTTCTTTAATAAAACTGTCAAGGTGGATACCTTAAGGCAGTGTTCCTTTAGGCCTGACAAAGGGACCATTAGTAACTGTGGTATGTTTTATTAAGCCAAGAAAGTAGAAACTTGGCAGTTCTCTAGTAATGTATTTCTTAATAGGAGCTAGATTGGCCATTGAAGAGTGTATTGTTGTTGTTGTTAATTGCGAAGTCGTGTCTGACCCATCGCGACCCCATGGACAATGTTCCTCCAGGTCTTCCTGTCCTCTACCATCTTCTGGAGTCCATTTAAGCTCATACCTACTGCTTCAGTGACTTCATCCAGCCATCTCATTCTCTGTCGTCCCCTTCTTCTATTGCCCTCAATCTTTCCCAGCATTAGGCCCTTCTCCAGTGAGTCCTTCCTTCTCATTAGGTGGCCAAAGTATTTCAGTTTCAACTTCAGGATCTGGCCTTCTAAAGAGCAGTCGGGGTTGATCTCTTCTAGGACTGACCGGTTTGAACGCCTTGCAGTCCAAGGGACTCGCAGAGTCTTCTCCAGCACCAGAAGAGTGTATACTATTTATCTATTTTCTTCTCAAAAACTAGTGAAGAGGTTTAGTAAAGCCTAAATCTAGCAAAAATGACAGATTCTGAAAACGGGAGGGGCTCTCTTTGTTTGCTACAAGATTGTAGAAATCTGGTGGAAAGAGGAATTGGTCGGTATTGGAGAACCTGCATTTAATATGGTTTACTATAATGTAAGAGGCCCGCACAATTCTTGCTTCCTGTTTAATTGGATTAGAGACTTCTATTTAGCTCTCCATTCTTGCTATTTTTTTTCTAAAACTATTTGAAATTATTATTTTTTTCTCCTTTTAGTTTGGATTGGTCTACCTCGTCCTGAAAATTTTCAGATTCATAGTTTGAATATGAACCATTTCTTATCTTGGGATAATCTGTATGATGGAAATGTGAGCTTCATAGTACAGCTGGTTCCGTAAGAATCCTTATGTATTTCTTGTTTTCATATCGCATCTCATTTCTATCATTTTGTTTTGAGGTTTCACATATTTGTGTGTGCTGAAATGTTTGAAGATTTGTAGGGGTGTGTATATGTACATGCACTGCTGAGGGCCATAAGAATAACGACAATAAAGTGACATCATTGGTGGGTAGAGGGATCTTTAATTGATAACAGAGATTGTCTACACATGTGACAGTTTAACATATTTCAGTGCTTATTTTCCTGCCAAAGGCAGACAAATTGAGTAGAATTGGAATATAATGTGCTGATACGTATATTGCATTCAATTAATTTTCTATTCCTATAGTGGATACATAGCCCATCATTCTCCTGATATTTCAAAGGACTGGGAAAATGTATCTGAATGTGAAAATATCCAAAGTACATTTTGTGATCTTTCATCTTCCATTGGCTCCAGTGGAATTTACTATCTCCGTGTGCAGGCAGCAGATAGTCGTAACAAGTCACCTTGGTCTAAAACCTTAAAATTTGAACCTAGAGAACAAAGTAAGTTTCACCTACTTACTTACATTCATTTTCTTGTGATTTATGAATAATAGACAGCTACCTGGTGTTGTTCATCAAAATTTCTGTAGTGCAGCTTATAAGTAATGTGTGTGTATGTGTGTGTGTTCATGTATGCATATAGAAACACTTCTTGAAAGCTTACTGTAAAGCACAAAACACTTTATATCATAGCAGAGTCTGGTTTTTTTTAAACAAGTGTAAACTTTTATTAACTAGTATGCAGGATGGGGAGCCTATGGCCTTAAGTAACTTATTTGAGCTCCTCCTAGTAAGCACAATAAGTATGGATGACATTTTCTGATTTCTTAAAAAAAAAAAAAAAAAGTGGTTGGATATGGTTAGGGAGCTTACAGAGCTTACAGAGCCTGAAGTGTCCATTCCCTTAAAAATCCTCATACAAAATGATTGGATCCTAATTTCCATTTGGAAAGAAAAATCATATCGTGCTTTACACTCTACCTAGCAACTCAATTGGATGCAAAGACGAGGCAGGGCAGTAAGATTGAGTGGATATTAACCCCCACCCCAGTATGAAAATGGTTTCTCTGTTGCGTTGTAATATCAGAATCCCCCTGAAGTGAATGGAAATGTGGTAGCAGTATTTCACTGGGGATTGCTCTCTGAAATATTTAGTTATATTCAGAAGAATGTAATTAGAATTACACAGCTATCCTACAGGCAGAGGGTGTTAAAAAAAGTGTAATTTAAAAAAATCAATTTCTATTTTGAAATAGAAAATTTGCTTTAGTTTTAGAGTTGTAGGTCCCCAATATTAATGTTAAATGTTTAATAAATATACAATTGTTTTAAAGATAAAATGGGCCCACCAACTGTCTCAGTCAATGCCACTGAGGATTCAATAAATGTCTTCATCGCTTCTCCTGGAGAGTCTGAAAACAAACCAATGAGTGATCCGTATAAATTGACTTACAACGTTTGGTACTGGACTTCATCTATCAAGGTAACTTTTTTATTGTTCAAGAGCAAATACATATTTGTATCAAAGCCTTTTACCTCAAGCCTTCTATAAACCAATGAAATGTTTGATAATTTTGCTGCTTCTGCCGTCCAACTGGGCCAGCAGAAGCAGCAAAATTATCAAACATTTCATTGGTTTATAGAAGGCTTGAGGTAGATGATGGAAGAAATTACTGGCGTACCATACTAACAGAATTGGCAAAAGCAGCTTTTATCTTCCACTTGAATTATTTCAACATTGAGCCCAACACAAACAATTGTTTGTTGTGTATGTGTACATATGTCCTAACTCATTCACTGAGATTTTATAGTTCACTTCTGCAGAACATCCTGTCATTGGAATCCCCTTCAAAATATTTATGGGTTTTGTTTTGGAAGATAGTTACATATTCAAATTGCAGATTGTTAAGGACATGCCAACAGTGCAGTGCACTCCCTCATACCTTCTCCAGGATAACATTTCCACTAGACAACTGAATCACCCAGACAACAATAGTTTTCAAACTAATGTTTGTAGTAGTACTGTTTAAGAGCTGCTCTATTTGTGCTTCTGTATTTTCTCCACATATTTTTCAAATAATTTTCAGTTACATGCAAGTAGAGTTGCTCTCAATGAATCCTTAACATCATATAATTTTGCTTTCCAGTTCGGTATCTTCAAACAGATATTTGTGTGCTTTCTTCATACAAATGTGTCATTTCAAATACTGCTAACTAGGAAATAGTGTCCAATGATAGTCCATCAGTTGTCGCCAGTATTTTCCTATTCTTCGGATTGACTGACTCATAGTTCTGCAATTGTACTAAATATTACTTTCAATGATAAAATATTTCCCAGAATTTATTATGATTTACTTGTTGGTCTTGTTTATCCATGTATGTATTCCCTCTTTCATCTTTTTTTGCAGAAAGAACTCAGACATAAACCATCACAGTTTATAATCTCAGATCTGAGCTCCTCAACATTATATTGCTTAAAAGTGCAAGCATTTGCTAAAATATTTAGTAAAACTAGTGCTTTTAGCAATGTAACTTGCATTAAAACAGCCAAAGGTATGTTAACATTTGATTTGAAATAACTTATATCTCTGTTTGCATTTTTAGTATTTATATTGAGTCTGTTGGGTATATTAGGGTTTCAAAGTATAAAATTACATTCATTAACTTTTTAAAAAACTGCAACTTCAAAATATTCAGACTTGAAAGCAGATTTTTAAAATATAACTCTGATTCTTTGGAATCATTTTGAGAAAGATTCAAAAGCATTGTATTTCATAATATGGCAGATTCAATAAGAATCTATTTTCAATCTTATGTTAAATGCATATTTATTAGAATGCATAAAATCATTTTATTTGCAGTTTTTATTGAGACAAAATTACACTCTCCGAGCCTATATATATTTGGATGTCCTTATTTCTCCACAAAAATAAGCCATAAATAATTCTGGGATAGGTCGAAGGTAATTTTTTTTGAGTCTGTCATGAATTTGAATGGTTGTTCAAAATTGATTGTAAATCGAGGACTACCTGTATTTTGCCATACCTTTTTAGAGTTGTGTTTGGCCCCTATGTTACTGATATTTCAGAAGGAATTGAAAATTTAATTCTGGTGGGCTTTCAGACCTTTGCCTTTGTTTCTTGTATATGTTTTTCAAGCTATTTTGTATTGTGTTGGGAGGGTGGATAATATTTTATTGTATGACTTGTTTTTGTGTTTTCACACATTGGTCAAAGGCTGAGTGTTATGAAAATCTGTGAGTAGCTAAACATTGCTGCTGGTAGGATTGATATTATAAAATTATATTTACATAAAAATATAATGTAAAGCAGGGGTCTCCAATCTGTGGGCTGCAGCCCAATACCGGGCTGCAGCGTGTTGGCCAGTGGGCCACGGGAATGGTTGGCAAGTATGTGCACCCCCCACTCGCACTAGTGACTCCATTTGCACATGCGCATGAGTGCTAGCACCACCGCCAGCATCACACAGTTGCTAGTGACCTGTTTGCGTATGCACACAGTTGCTAACAGCCTGTTTGCAGGTGTGTAGGTAACAGCGCTGCCATCAGCACCACCAAGGGTGCATGTGGTCTGCTGGTGCATGCATGCCGATGCTGGCACCGCCATCATGCACATGCCTGTTTGCGCATGTGCGCACACGTGCACACACATTTTTCTGCTCCTCCCTTTCCCTCCGGGCCGCCAACCCAGAAAGGTTGGGGAACTCTGATGTAAACCCTTCCTCTGTTCTATGTGATGATTGCTTGTTACATGAGTTATTTTCATGGGGATGAGACTCTGCTGGCCTCTACTGGCAGGGGGGAAGTAAGTCCACTGAGTTTCTTGGATCAGTTGCTCCTGATAGTAAGAAGACTAAAATTTTGAATTAGGTACAATGGAGGTATATTTCTTTCTCCAGCAGGATGACTGTAGAGTCCAAATGGATGGGTTCTATGACGGCCTTCCTGCCTGGCAGACTGGGTAAAAACTTCGGCCACACCCCTTCCTTTGGGCGTGACCCCAGTTTTGACTCAGTCTCGAAGCCTGGTACACGTGCGAGAGGCAGCTCTCAGAACCAAACGAATTTAAACTCAAAGAAAACAGAAAAAAGGAATCCCCTCTCCTTCCCTTTGCAAGAGAAACTTCCTGGCAACGATTAGAACTGAGAGAGGCAGCCAGGATCGGCGGACTCGTGAGTGGGGCTAGCTGGGGAGGCTCGGAACGGGCCGGATCGCTTTTCTTCCGGCCCGCCGAGCAGCTGTTGGGCGCGGGGGATCTCACCGGGTTGCGCGTAGCCCCCCGGGCCCTCCCAACAGCTGAGCAGCCTGGTCGAGGGAGCTGAGCGCCGCTCGGCGCGAAACAGCTGAGCCGCGCGGGAGGCGGCAAACCAGGTCGCCGCTCGGCTGCGATCAGCTGAGCGGCGCGATAGACAACGCGGCAAGAGCAAAGCCGGCGCTGAATTTCCTTCTATCCAGAGGAAAGGCGCAGCCCCCTCATGACTAGAGGAGTCTTCCTGATTGCAAAAATCAGGATCCGCCATTGTTTTTGAACCTCGTGGATATCCGGGCTTCCATTGGGAGGCGTGGCTTCTTCCCCATTCGCCATTTTGGAAATTGATCTTCCCGCCGTTTCCCCTTGGGGGCGGGGCCATCACCCGGACTCCATTTTCCGGCAAACAAAGGGTTTTCTTCCCTTGCAAGGATCTGAGGTTACCCAAGGAAATTGAGACAGAGGAAGGAAGAGGGAAAGCAAAAAGAACCGTTTCCTATCGTGGTCTGTTGCCACAGCCACAGACTGGGGGAGAGAGAGAGAGATATAAACTGCACCTTGTCTGGACTAGGTGAGGAGGTGAGGAGGAATATTCTTCCCTAACTGTTCCTATAGTGGCCTTTAGTCACTGCCTGGCAGGATCTTCTGTCCAAAGAATCCTGTCTGTCCGGCCATTGTTTGTATAGGCAGAGGAGGGCACAGTCCCAAGCATCTGTCTCTGATCTGCGTACCTCATTCCCCCATCCCAGGCATTTCCTACTCGGGGTGTCTGGCACAATGGCAGACAATGTCTCGTATTCAGTCACACAGGTCCCTCAATTGTCCCCCCCACAGCAGCAGCGAAAACGCAGATCCTCTGAATCAGAGGTGGGGGGGAAGAAGAAAGCTAAAACAAAGCACCTTACTCAGAAGGGACAGTCTAAAACGGCTGAGCGAGAGGCTTTGAGGAGACATTTGGCTTTAGAAAGACAAATTAGCAGGGCACAGAGAACCAATGCCAATGGGACAAATTTGGTTTCCCCTGTCCCAGTGGCGGCACCCAGCACAGAACCTACTGCCGAGGAAGTGCTCAAGACTTGGTCTCCTCCTGGGGAAACTGAACAGTTAGATTCCTCCAATCCCTCCTCACCAGCTTCTTCTCCCTCACCCGACCACACTCCAGCGCCTCACCCCAGCGACAAAGCGCAGGAGAACATATGGTCGGCACAATTTCAGGCATTCATGCAGGATGCATTCTCCCAATTCATGGCTTCCAAAGGGCAAGTGGCCTTTCACACACCCCGTAAGGGACGAGCTAGGCCACCCCCTACCAACATCTCTGAATCTTCCTCTCAACTAGGAGAGGGTGACTCAGTAGATCTTGACATGTCAGACATGCCCCTATCGGAGGACGAGGAAACCGCACCTGAGCAGGAGACGAGCTCTGGCCTCTTTAACCCAGCGCTCCTAAAATCACTCCTGATAAAGGCAGTTTCCACAGTCAGCCTAACATCAGTACAGGATGAGAGGCCATCGACAAGCAAGGAGGCCAACCCTCTATTTGCCAAAAAGGTCCCACAGGACAAGTACATTCCATGTGCGGAGGTCTTCATGACCACGCTGGAGGAACAATGGTCCTCACTTGCAAGCCCACCGGCACCTAACAGCGCGGAGAGGAAGCTTTTCAAACCTATCTCCCTCCTTCTCTAACATGTTAGAGGTTCCCACTGTAGATAACCCCTTGATCTCATTATTCTCTACCTCCGCGATTCCAGGAGACATGGCGGAGGTCTTGAAACCTGAGGAGAAGAAATTTGAACACTCCGTCCGGCGTTCCCACATGGCTGCAGCCTGGGCGGCCAGAGCAGCCACCTCATCATCATTCTTCGCGAGGGCCTGCATCATGTGGCTGAGGGAACTGCAGGGCACGGTGCCTCCAGACCAGGTCAGAGTACACCAGACATTGGCCAAACTCCTCGCGGCCTCTCAGTTCATGTCTGACGCTTCACTGTACGCAACAAAGTATGCGGCAAGATCCATTGCGGCCACAGTGGCCTCGCGTAGGCTACTGTGGCTCAAAAACTGGAAGACAGACCTGAGGTCCAAATGGCGTCTCTCGACGTCCAAATACAGTGGAGAGGCCCTATTTGGTTCCATTCTGGATCCACATGTCAGCGAAGGCAGAGACAAGAAAAAAATCCTAGTACATCCATCAAAGAAGTTAGACAGGAGAGGCAGTCAGGACTTCCGGAGGCAGGGCTCCCGCCCAGGAAGCCCCTGGGAATGGAGGCAGCCCTTTCGATCAGGGCAATCCTGGGACTGGCCCAGAGGCTCACGATCCTTCTACCCGAGACAGGATCGAACCCAGGATCGCCAAAGCCCGGGAGCCAGGGGCCAGTTCCAGTCCAGACGCCCATATAGAGGAGCGGGAGGCAGATCCCTTAAGCGTACCAAGTGACGCCAAACAGGATACACCCATCGGGGGTCGGTTAGGAAATTTCACCGAGGTCTGGGAACAGACCACCACCGACGCCTGGGTCCTGGAAACGATCAGGCATGGCCTGACCTTAGACTTCTGTTCTCCCCCTCCAAACCGGTTCATCAGATGTCCCATCTCCAGAAGAGTACACAAGACAAGGCTGATAACTTCGGCCATAGCTCACCTCCTGTCAATTCAAGCCATAGAGAAGGTACCAAAGGAAGAGGAAGGAAGAGGATTTTATTCTATCCTCTTCGTTATCCCAAAGACATCAGGAGGGTGGAGAGCAATCTTGGACCTGAAGGGCCTGAACTATTTCATAAAGTACAGGAGGTTCAAGATGCACTCCTTAAAGTCCATACTAGCCAGCGTCAGGGAAGACGATCTACTATCCTCAATAGATCTCACAGAGGCGTACCTACACATCCCCATCCACCCCAGCTACCGGAAATTCCTCAGATTTACCTACGCGGGGCGACATTACCAATACAGGGCATTACCCTTCGGACTGTCGTCAGCACCAAGGGTATTCACAAAGATCTTAGCTGTACTAGCGGCCCACCTCAGGTTGATCCCGGTTCGCGTCCAGTTTTATCTGGACGACATCTTGATCCAGTCCAGATCTCGGGAACAAGCAAGGGCAGATCTCAAGACCACAATCCGAACCCTACAGGGGCACGGATTCTCGGTCAATCTAAACAAGAGCCACCTCATTCCCTCAAGGAGACTGCAACACCTGGGCGCGGTGATAGACACGTCACAGTGCAGGGTATTCCTTTCCCAGGAGCGACTGATCAGCATATCCAAGCTAATCCACCAAGTTCAAAGGATCAGGAGAGTGCCCTTGCTACAACTCTCGAAGCTCCTGGGGAAGATGATACCTTGCATGGGCATCATCCCATGGGCAAGGCTCCACTCGAGGGAGTTGCAGTGGTTCCTCCTACCCTACCAGAGGAGGAACCTCAGCACCTCCAACAGGAGTGTGCTGGTACCAGCACAGGTGATGAAATCACTAAAATGGTGGCTATCCCCCACGACACTCAAGGGGAGCATATTCAGGGAACCGAACAGGGTCACACTCACGACAGACGCGAGCCTGTTCGGATGGGGAGCCCACCTGGGAACACAGATAGCACAGGGCCAGTGGGGACAGAAGGACCTGTCACACAGCATCAACTGGCTAGAGCTCCGGGCCATACACCTGGCCCTCCGCCATTTCTCACACCTAGTAACGAGGAGGCACGTCCTCGTACTAACAGACAACGTAGCAGCCAAGGCACATGTAAACAAGGAGGGAGGAACGAGATCAGTGGAACTAATGAAAGAAGCATTGGCTCTGGCTCGGTGGGCAGAAGCCTATGTGAGTTCCATCAGAGCGGAACACATCTCAGGGGAGACAAACACACAGGCAGACTCCCTGAGCAGAGCCAAGGTGGACCAGTCGGAATGGCGTCTGGACCCGGCTCTCTTCGAGGAGATCTCCCGGAGGTTCGGACAACCGCACCTAGATCTATTTGCCAACCACAAGAACACACAACTCCCCAGGTTCTTCTCCAGATTCCCGTCCCCGGGATCGGAGGGAACGGATGCTCTCAGGTGCCGGTGGCCGGCGCAACTCCTGTACGCCTTCCCACCGCTGCCACTAATACCGGCAACCATACGCAAGATGATCGTGGAGGGCGCAGAAATGGTCTGCATTGCCCCTCACTGGCCACGGCGCCCGTGGTTTGCCGACCTCGTGGACCTTTCGATATCACCTCCGTGGAGGATTCCCCCGGACAGGGTAAAACTCAGTCAGGGCAAGCTCGTACACCCAGACCCCCAGTGGCTACATCTAGCCGCTTGGCATTTGAGCGGCAAAGCTTAACTAAACAATCTTATTCTGCAGGGGTGATATCGATCATACAGGCATCACGAAGAGCGTCCACTAATAGGATTTACGACGCTACATGGAAGGGATTTTGTAGGTGGTGCGCTTCGCTTCACCTAGACCCGACCGCAGTATCTATACCCAATATCCTAGATTACCTATTGGAGGGTCTTAATAAGGGCCTGTCAGTCAATACTATCCGCAGACAGATATCGGCCCTCTCAACTGTACTCTCCTGCGACAACTTAACTTCCCTAGCACAACATCCAGCGATTAATGCCTTTTTAAAAGGGGCATCTAACACAAAGCCCCCAGTCATACACAGGTACCCGTCCTGGAACCTGCCTAAGGTCCTTCTAGCCTTGACATCAGCACCCTTCGAACCTCTTGAAACATGCTCACTCCATCACCTATCACTGAAGGTAGCTTTCCTTGTGGCAATTACTTCAGCAAGGAGAATCTCAGAACTAGCAGCACTGTCAGTAAGGAAGGATCTGTGTACCTTTTTCAAAGACAGGGTCGTTCTTAGACCAGACCCGACCTTCATCCCGAAGGTAAATAGCATCTTTCACAGATCTCAGGAACTTACGCTTCCTGATTTCTGTCCAAGACCCAAACATAAGCTAGAACACAGATGGCACAAGCTAGACGTACGGAGAGCACTGTGTTTCTACGTGAAACGCACCTCGGCTTTCCGAAAGACTGAAGCATTATTTGTGTCCTTTCAACCATCAACTATGGGAAAGAAGGTATCTTCTTCCACCATAGGCAGGTGGATCAGAGCCTGCATAGCGCAGACCTACGTCTCACAGGATTTGCCAGCACCCACTCAGGTGACTGCCCACTCAACTCGGAGCGCAGCCACATCTGCGGCGTGGCTAACGCAAGCTCCGGTGGAAGAGATTTGCAGGGCCGCAACCTGGTCCTCACCTTCGGTTTTCATTCGACATTACCGTTTAGACTCCCTAGCAGCAGCAGACGCGGCTTTTGGCAGAAGAGTTCTTCAACAGGTCGTATCTGCTCAGAGTTCGGTAGCCTAGACATTCCCTCCCAGGGGGACATGAGGGCTTTGGTATGTCCCATCCATTTGGACTCTACAGTCATCCTGCTGGAGAAGGGGCGTTGTCTTACCTGAACGCCTTTTCTCAGCAGGATGATGTAGAGTCCAAGCCCACCCAGAGGATAGGTCTAGGCAGGGATATAATAAAGATATAATAAAGAGCTGCAATGTTAATTCCAACAAAGTTTCTCGCCTAAGTCAAAACTGGGGTCACGCCCAAAGGAAGGGGTGTGGCCGAAGTTTTTACCCAGTCTGCCAGGCAGGAAGGCCGTCATAGAACCCATCCATTTGGACTCTACATCATCCTGCTGAGAAAAGGCGTTCAGGTAAGACAACGCCCCTTTTCTGCTCCTCCCTTTCCCTCCGGGCCGCCAACCCAGAAAGGTTGGGGAACTCTGATGTAAACCCTTCCTCTGTTCTATGTGATGATTGCTTGTTACATGAGTTATTTTCATGGGGATGAGACTCTGCTGGCCTCTACTGGCAGGGGGGAAGTAATTCCACTGAGTTTCTTGGATCAGTTGCTCCTGATAGTAAGAAGACTAAAATTTTGAATTAGGTACAATGGAGGTATATTGGGGAAGATTTTAGAACTCTGTATCCAAACTATAATGAACAAAATGGGAAGGGAAAACACCTTTAAGTGTGTATTTATGCGAACATATAATTCTGTCCTGCATGATACAAGCCATCAAGGCTACAAATGAGAAGAGATTCACTTTGCTTTCTTGTGCAACCCAATTTCACTCCATTTAGCTTGATTCTCTTTTTGTTTTGTAGGAAAATCTTCAGATCCCATCCTCCCAATTTCTCTTGCCATGACTTTTATAATACTTTTCATCGGTGCTATGTATTATGCTTGGAGAAAAATAAAATATGCATTCTTCCCTAAATGTAAACCTCCAATGAACATAGAGGTATTTATCAACAATTTAATGTATTATTTAAAATAATTCAATAATTAAATGAAAATAATTGTGGGAAAGTAGGCTAGAAATATCACCTATGTTCATGTGGAAATTTTTAAAATTCTGTTGGGAGTGGGCACCTACAGTACATATCTCTGTGAGGATGCTGTTCTGTAGGGAAGGGACAATGACAGAGAACTTTGATTCATTTGAGGCTATAATTGGCAACTCGTGAGTACCCCATTCTTTTCTCAAATGCTCCAAATAGCCAAATTAACTATTGCACCTGTGAACCTAGATGCCCTCTCTCTTTGACATACAGCAGAAGCTATTCTACTGGCTACTAAAGCAGTCTGTATTTTATCTCTCTTCACTTTATTGATAGTTCATATTGCTGTCTATTTTATACTGCTGACTAAGTGAAGACAGCAAACTGTAGAGCTCCATGAAATTAGACTTTAGACTCTGTTGAGTTCTTTAGACTCTGTTGAGTTCTTTCCTATTCATGTTCAACCATTGATTTTGGTATCAGTTTTTGTGCAATTATTTAGATTTTAAAGTATATTCTAGTAATTAGGCTGGTCTGGGTGATGCTCAAGAGTTAATAATCTTTTCAGAATTTAAGCAGTACTTTCAATTTTAGTGAATTAGCTTAATTCTATCTCTATACAACCTTTAATAGTGACTTGTATAATAAATAGATTCAGCAAAATTTTATGGTTATGGTTTTATCATAATTTTATTAAATTATTTAAAAACCTATTTACATTTTTCTCATCACTTTATTTTGTTCCACTGCAGGGCATTGGAGAAAGAGATTTGAACAGATTTTATTTGCCAATTGCAGAAGAGCAAACAGACAAATGTATGGTCATAAATTCCAATATTGCTCCTCCAAGTAAAGTTAGCCTGGATGAGTTCAAATTTGACAAAGAGTTGGAACAGATCAGTCAAGACTCAGGAAACTATTTTATTGATGACCTTATCATGTCTGGAGATAACGAATCCCATCAATCCTCAGAACTAAAAGCAGTATAACAAGATAATATAAGCAGGAAACAAGATGAGGAAAGCAGCATAATGTGGAAAGCTTGCTTATTATAGAAATAATCTGTATCACTACAGAGAACAAAGATCTGGGCCCAAAAGTGGGCCACAAGCTGCCTCCACTGACACTGATTTTGAGCTTCGTGGACTGCTGCTGGAAGAACTACTTACCACAAGTGAAGGAGCAAATTTATTTTTTCTTCTTAAAATGTTATAGGAAAAAAAATTACTGGTATGACTGGTGCTGAATTCACATTCCTCTGTTTGTGTATACATACAAAAAACACATTTCATACTTACAGTATTAACTGCATTGGATTCTAAGGCAGGGGTCTCCAATCCCCGGTCCATGGACCAGTACCGGACTGTGGAATGCCAGCAACCGGTCCGCATAAACAAGCAAAGCCCCATCCTTGGGATGCAGGCAGCACACAAAACCATGCAACCTCCGGTTCGAGGAAAAACCTCTCTCCACAGAACCAGTCCCTGGTGCCCAAAAGGTTGGGGACCTCTGTTCTAAGGAACTAATAATAGACTGAGCCAGTCTATATGAGTTTTCAGAAGTATTTGGAAGGAAGGAAGGAAGGAAGGAAGGAAGGAAGGAAGGAAGGAAGGAAGGAAGGAAGGGTATCTGTGTGTACCAAATAAATATATGTAGTTGTTATGCTTTCCTTGTGACGTATGATCACAATACTGATACTTTCTTTGTTCATCATTCATTATTAATGCATTCTTAAGCAAGATGTTAGCTTTCCTACCGGACTCTTGAAGAAAAAGGAAGACACAAAGGCACCTTGGTTCAATCAGCTCCGGTTTACTTTGAGATAAAGCAATGACTCAACACAGACCTCTAGATAGCAGGCTCTGTGCTATACAAAGTTTGCGCTGGGAGCAATCGCCTCCCAGCACTGCTTAAATATACTTGTGCTGATGCTACCCCACCCTCCACCTAATTAGTTATTAGCCACACCCCTGCCACACCCTTGCCCAACAAACCACAACCCCACCCAGCCATCATCTCCCAACCCCACCCTCTTGTCTCCCAACCAGCACCCGGCAGCAATCAGGGAAAGCAGCTACTACATCTGTGGCTTTTCTGGGACGCCCTGCCCCAGCCATGCATTCTTTGGGCTACTGCCCATCAGCTGTTCACCGGCTTGCTGCTTGTCAGCTGTTTGGCGACTCAAACAGTCTACGTAGGTGCGGCAGCCTATCTGCGCATGCGCAGCATCTCATGCTTTCTGGAACCGCCCATCAGGTGTTTCAGCAGCCAGAACACCCACCGGAGAATCCGCGGTTTGTGCTTTCTTTCCAGGACGGTGAGCTACTTTAGATCTTGTGCTGGTTCTCCTCCTCTATCACCAGGCTGTCCCCCCTTTTTTGTGTGTCGAGCCCGGGAGGGCTGGACAGGTGGCCCCCCTACCAGGTGTCCTCCTGGAAGTAGGCAAAACATATAGTTAGGTTGGTATTGGGGTTGTGGGTACATCTCCCCTCCCCCTGGTTTTGGGGGATATTTACGGTGGTATCTGCATACTAGTCGAGGGGCATCAACATCTGCCTCCCTCACCCATGATGCCTCCAACATTGGGTATCCCTTCCACAGTACTAGATATTGTAACCGACCCTGTCGATACTGTGAATCGAGTAATTTCTCAATTTTGTAATGACTTCCCCCAACTTGACCAGGGGGTTGTTGTACCTGCCTAAATGAAGATTTTGTTACCGGTTTTAGTAACCCACTGTGGAAGACTGGGTACACTTTACCAAGGCTGCAGGGCAATTTTAATCTCACCATCACTGGATTAATAACCAGTTCTATTTTAAAAGGCCCAATATACTTTGGCCCTAGCTTCTTACACGGCCTGCATAACTTTAAGTATTTAGTGGACAGGTACACTTTTTTGCCGACTTGAAAGGGTTTTTGTGGAGTTCTCTTCTTGTCAGCTTGTCTTTTTGATGATTGTTCCACTTTCTGTAGTGCCTTCTGAACTGATTTCCATACGCTTTTAATCTGGAGTATCCAATCGTTCGGTTGTTGTGACCCAGTACCTCCCTGTGGTAATTCAGGAATAGGGACAAACTCTATTCCGTGTACCACCCGAAATGGAGTAAACCCTGTGCTACTGTGGGGGGTGTTATTATACGCCACTTCAGCGAATGGTAGAAGATCAGCCCAATTTGTCTGCTGGTAATTGATATAACATCTAAGATATTGTTTGATCATCACGTTGGCACGTTCAGCTGCTCCGTTTGTGCTGGGGTGAAATGCGGAACTCAGTCCCTGAGATGACTTGATGAAATTTCTCCAGAATCGGGTGGTGAATTGTACTCCTCGATCTGATATGATGAGACGAGGTACTCCATGTAGGCGATAGATATGTGTTACAAATAGTTTTGCTAAACGCCTCGCTGATGGTAACCCTTTGCAGGGGATAAAATGTGCCTGTTTTGAAAACAGGTCTATCACCGTCCATATTACAGTGTTCCCATGGCTGGCTGGCAGATCGACTATAAAGTCCATGCCAATCTCGTCCCAAGGATGGTTCGGATTGGACACTTGTTGTAGCAGGCCCGATGGTCTTCCCACCCGTGGTTTTGTAGTTGCACATGGAACATTCCTGAACGTATTTCTCTACATCCGTTTTCATACCTGGCCACCAAAATTGTCGTTTGAGCAGGTGTAGGGTTTTTAAAAACTCAAAATGACCAGCTGACTTTACATCGTGGCCTCGCCTGAGAATCTCCACCAGTAGGGATTGTGGACATATAATTTCTCACCCTTCCATGCTAACCTGTCTCTTATAGTAAGAGTATGGGGATGACTCGTTAACCATGGATCAACTGTAAGGGCGCCTTGCAGAGTTTGTACCATGTCTTCCACAGATCATACCACCAGAATTTTATCCCCGGACTGCACAGTTGGAGGTATGAGGGCTTGAACCACCACCTCCTGCTTACTATGGTACTGGGGTTTTCTAGATAGCGCATCCGCAAGAAAATTCCTTCTTCCAGGAACATACTTTAGTCGAAATTTGAAACGTTGGAAATATAGCGCCCATCTTACGTGTTTTGGAGTGAGCCATCTGGGCATTTCTGGTGCTTCCAAATTTTTGTGGTCAGTCCACACCTCAAAAGTTTCTTTTGCTCCTTCTAAAAAATGACGCTATGTGGCTAATGCCCACCTTACCGCGTATGCCTCCTCCTCCCAAATCGCCCACCCTCGCTCAGTGTTGGTTAATTTACGAGAGGTAAACGCATAATGTTGCAATCTTCCTTGTTCATTCTTTTGTAAAAGCACTGCCCCTACCGCCACGTCACTTGCGTCTGTTTGTACTACAAAAGGTTCATCCAGATTGGGATGTCATAAGACTGGTTCTCTTGAAAACAAGACTTTTAAAGCCTCAAATGCTTGTTGGCACTTGTGTGACCAGAGTAATGGTTGGTTTGGCCAGGGCTTGTTACCTGTGGCTTTTGTACGCAGTAACTCTGTTAATGGCAATGCCACTTTAGCAAAAGAATAAACTCATCAGCTGTTCGGTGGCTCAAACTTAGTCTGCGTAGGTGTAGCAGGCTATCTGCACATGCGCGGCATCCCATGCTTTCTGGAACTGCCCGTCAGGTGTTTCAGCGGCCAGAACACCCGTCGGAGGATCCGCAGCTCGTGCTTTCTTTTCAGGACGGTGAGCTGCTTTGGATCGTGTGCTGGTTCTCCTCCTCCGTCACCAGGCTGTCCCCCCCTTTTTTGTGGAGACTTTAACTCTGGAAAAGATTTCATCTTCTCTTTTTTTTATTTGAGAGGGGTGAAAAATGGCGCTGAGATGTTGTTTTTAAGAGTGAAAGGACCGGAACTTTAATTTGAAACAATGTAACAGCTTTCTTTTTTCTTCTTTTTTTTTTATTTACACAGGGGGCTTTTGTCTTTTTTCCCCTCCTTTTGTCTTCTTTTTTCTCTCTCTCTCTTTGTTAAAGGTTTTATAAGATTTTAAGAGCTTTTTTTTTTTTTCAAGATGGCTTCAAAGCATTTTGGAGCTTTTGTTTCTAAAGCCTCAATCTCCTCTTCAGTAATGCAGACAGCTCAGCAAGTCGAGTCTAAATTTTCACCACTTTTCTCAGCTTTACCAGCAGTTTTACCTAAAGACTTACAGGACGTTTTGGAAGATAGTGTACGACGGATTGAAAAAGAGATAAGTGAAATTATTGAAAATAAATTTAGGAAATTGAGAGAAGATATAGTGTCTGTGCTTCAGAAGTTTACTGATCATATAGATCGTTTGGATCAGCGTATTGATGTTGCTGTAGAAAATTTTGAAAAATTGAAGATAAAATAGAAAATAAGGTGGAAATAATTCAGGATGAAATTACTATGTTACAATACAGAAGTATGGACTTTGCTTTAAGAATAAGGGGAATGCAGGAAAATAATCAAGAAGACTTGAGACAAGTGGTTGCAAAGGATATAGCTTTTATTTTGGAATCCGAGCCTGAAGAAATATTGAGAGAGATAGAAAAAGTTTTTAGGGTTAATTCAAGGGTTGCAAGACAGAGGAACCTGCCACGAGATGTGGTTATTTATTTTTTTAGTAGATCACTTTGTAATAAAATTTTACAAGCCTTTTACAAGCAGAGATTTCAAATTGCAGCCCAGAATGTTATACTTCTGAAAGAACTACCTTCAAGAATTCTCAAAGTAAGAAAGCATTTTGCTTTTTTGGCTGATGAGCTTAAGAGGCGATAGATTCGTTTCAGATGGGAGATACCGGCTGGAATGGTGGTGAATTACGCGGGGACACGCGACAGACTTGATACAATTTTGAAAGCTAAGGATTTTTATACTTCTGTTTTGAAGGCGGGCTCTTTATTACCTACAGCTGAGATATTAGAAAAAAAGTTGGAAGAGCAATTGATAGAAGATATGCAGGTTAAACCTCTGCAACAATCTCTCTTGACAGAAGATTCATTAATGAAATTGAGTACTTGTGGAGCTTTTAGAAGTAAATTAAAGGTGGAAGAAAAGCTGGAAGAGCAGCTGATTGAAGGAAATATGCAGGCTGAACCTTTGCACCAGTCCTCCTTAACAGAAGATTCATCAAAGAAATTGGGCATGACTCGCGCAGCTTTTAGAACTGAGGTATTAGAAGAAAAGTTGGAAGAGCAACTGATAGAAGATTCGCAGGTTAAACCTTTGCAACAATCTTTTTTGACAGGAGATTTATTAATGAAATTGAGTACTTGTGGACCGTTTAGAAGTAAGATAAAGGTGGAAGAAAAGCCGGAAGAGCAGCTGATTGAAGAAGATATGGAGGTTGTACCTTTGCAGCAGTCCTCTTCAACAGAAGATTTATCAAAGAAATTGGGCATGACTCGTGCAGTTTTTAGAAGTAAAATAATGGAACAGCGGAAGGTTTTTCGTCATCTCCTAAGTAACAGATAATAGAAGAAGAAGTTGGAATATCAGCCGGCTTGTTACAAGGAGTTTAGTAGTAGTAAAGTTGGAAGGGACCTTGGAGGTCATCTAGTCCAACCCCCTGCTCGGGCAGGAAACCCTACACCATTTCGGACAAGTGGCTGTCCAGTCTCTTCTTAAAAACTTCCAGTGTTGGAGCATTTACTGCTTCTGGAGGCAAGCTGTTCCACTGATTAATTGTTCTCACTGTCAGGAAGTTTCTCCTTAGTTCTAGGTTGCTTCTCTCCTTGATTAGTTTCCACCCGTTGCTTCTTGTCCTGCCTTCAGGTGCTTTGGAAAATAGCTTAATTCCCTCTTCTTTATGGCAGCCCCTGAGATTGGAACACTGCTATCATGTCCCCCCTTGTCCTTCTCTTCGTTAAACTAGACATACCCAATTCTAGCAACCGTTCCTTATATGTTTTAGCCTCCAGTCCCCTAATCATCTTTGTTGCTCTTCTCTGTACTCTTTCTAGAGTCTCAACATCTTTTTTACATCGTGGTGACCAAAACTGGATGCAGTATTCCAAGTGTGGCCTTACCAAGGCATTGAAGAGTGGTATTAATACTTCACGTGATCTTGATTCTATCCCTCTGTTAATGCAGCCTAGCACTGTGTTGGCCTTTTTGGCAGCTGCAGCACACTGCTGGCTCATATTTAAGTGATTGTCTACTAGGACTCCGAGGTCCCTCTCACAGTTACTACTATTGAGCATGGTGCCACCTATGCTGTACTTGTGCATTTGGTTTTTCTTGCCTAAATGTAGAACCTTGCTTTTTTCACCATTGAATTTCATTTTGTTAGTTAGTGCCCAGTGTTCAAGTCTGTCCAGATCCTTCTGTATCTGAAGCCTGTCTTCTGGAGTGTTGGCTATTCCTGCCAGCTTGGTGTCGTCTGCAAATTTGATGAGTTCCCCATCTATCCCTTCATCCAAATCGTTGATGAAGATGTTGAAGAGCACTGGGCCCAGAACAGAGCCCTGGGGCACCCCACTACACACTTCCTCCATGTAGATGCGGTTCCATTGAGGACCACTCGCTGAGTACGGCCGGTCAGCCAGCTACGGAGCCATCTGGTGGTGATGCTGTCTAACCCACATTTTTCTATCTTATCAAGTAGTAGGTTGTGATCTACTTTATCAAATCCCTTACTGAAGTCCAAGTAAAGTATGTCCACAGCATTCCTCTGATCCACTAATTTTGTCACTTGGTCAAAGAATGCAATAAGATTTGTCTGGCATGATCTATTTTTGACAAACCCATGTTGGCTTTTAGTAATGACTTTGTTTGCCTCTAGGTGTTCGTTGATTCGTTGTTTGATTATCTTTTCCAGGATCTTCCAAGGTATTGAGGTCAGGCTGATAGGTCTGTAATTTCCTGGATCCATTTTTTTTCCTTTTTTGAGGATGGGAACTACATCAGCTCTTTTCCAGTCCTCTGGTAGTTCCCCTGTGTTCCAGGATCTTTGAAAAATATAGTTCAGTGGCTCCGATATCACATCTGCAGTTCCTTGAGAACTCTGGGGTGTAATCCATCTGGTCCTGGCGATTTGAACTCATCTAGGCTAGACAGGTGCTCCCTAACCATTTTCTTGCCTATCTTAACGTGTGTTTCTGTTTTGTTTTTTATGGCAAATATTTTGATAGGTTGGTCTGTTTTTTCCCTTTGTGGTAAAGACAGAGCAAACACGAGTTAAAAAGTTATGCTTTCTCCTTGTTGTTTGTCACAGTTCTTGCCACTCCAACCACATGGACCAATCGTTTCACTTCACTTTTGTTCTTCGTTTTTTACATGTTGAAAGAAGCTTTTTTGTTTATTTTGGACTTAAGCCGGTCCATTTTTCTCTCTTCTTTTCTCTCTTCGTTATCATTCTGCCTTTCTCGCAAGGCCTTAGTTCATTTGAGCCTTGGCCTTTCTTCCTTCATCCTTGCAGGCTCGGGCTATTGCTGATATTCTGATTAGTTATGTCCCCTTCCACTTTCATACTTGTCCTTTTTATCTTTCAATTGTCAGAGAGTTCTTTATCGCAAGCCATGAGGTTTCTTTGAGAGCTGTGTTTCCTCTTTGTTGGTATTGTGCTAGACTGTGCTTTGATTATCTCATTTTTCAAAATTTCCCAAGCTTCTTGAGTTGTTTTCCCCTTGAGGATTCTCATCCATGGAATCCTTCCCAAGCCCTCTCTAAGTTTATTGAAATTACCTCTCTTGAAGTCCAAGACTCTAGTTTGACTGTGTTCTATTGGTTGTGCTTCTATAATGTTGAATTCTAATATTGCATGATCACTTCCTCCCAAGGTTCCTATGGCTTCAACACCGTCTATCATTTCATCTCTGTTAGTGAGAATTAGATCCAAAATGGCTAATCCCCTAGTTCCCTTCTCTACTTTTGGGGAGACAAAGTTGTCTGCTAGGTTTGCCAGGAACCTGTTTGATCTTCCACTTGTGCAGAGTTTGTCTCCCAGTTGATGTCAGGGTAGTTAAAGTCCCCCATTACTATTTTGATGTGCTTCCTACATACCTTAGTTAGCTGACTAGCAAAAAGTTCATCTATTTCCTCTGTTTGGTTGGATGGTCTGTAGTATACACCTATGGCAATGTCATTTCCCCCCCTTTTATATTGACCCAAATGCATTCAAGACAGTTTTTATCATTGTTGTACTCTATTTCTGTGGAGATGTAGTTATTTCTTATATAGAGAGCAACTCCACCTCCTCTTTTATTTGGTCTGTTTCTTTTAAATAATTTAAATCCCTCTAGATGTGTGTTCCATGTGTGAGTTTCATCCCACCATGTTTCCGTAATGGCAACAATATCGTATCTGCCCTCATTAACCTGAATTTCTAGTTCACCCTGTTTGCTGTTCATACTCTGTGCATTGGTGTAAAAACATTTGAGTCCTTTGTGGGTGGCCCTGTGTTTCCTTTGTTTTGTTAAATTTTTGTTATTTAGGGGAAAGTTTAAATTTATGATTTCTGCCTGGGAGAAGACTTGATAGGCTTTAATCTAGGGATTTAATATCAGAGAGTACTTACTATGATTTCTGTTCGAGAGAATAGTTGATAGGTTTTAATCTGGTGATTTAATATTTGAGAGTACTTATGATATATTATGATTTAAAAGTGGATAAGAATATTATAAGGTTTTGATTTGGGAGAAAAGGGTATTACATTCATTTGGGTCTGGGGGGGAAAGAGTTAAGAGCTAAGTTTATATTGTTTAAAAGAAATACACATCTCGGTGTGGAGAAGGTGGATAAATTATATGAAAGAGTAGAGATGATTAAAAGTATTGTTTTGATTATGAACAATTTGGTATTATTTGATTTTGATAATTGATTTTCTTTAATTTGTTTAAATTTGTTTTGTATTTGAGTTGAAGTAATTTAGTGATTTTGTTATTTGTATAGTTGGATAAGTTTAGTCAGATTTAGTTTGTATTACTTAAAGTTAAGTAGACTTTGTTTAATATGTTTGAAAAAAAATGGGTAAACTTTGATTAGAGTAGATATGATTAAAAGTATTGTCTTGATTATGAATAATTTTTGTTTTAAATTTGGCATTATTTGATTTTGATAGTTGATTTTCTTTAATTTGTTTAAATTTGTTTTGTATTTGAGTTAAAGTAACTTATTGATTTTGTTATTTGTATAGTTGGATAGGTTTAGTTAGATTTAGTTTGCATTAGTTAAAGCTAAGTAGATTTTGTTTAATATGTTTGAAAACCCTGTGCCAAGCTCTGGGAAGTGGGGGGGAGGGGAGGTCTGGGTGGGTGGGTTTTTTGGGACTGGGAGGGAGGGGGTTGGGGTGGGGGGGTAGGTAGGTTAGATGATAGGATCAAAGTAAGATAATAAGGGATAACTTATGAGAGAGATGTTGCTTGGGCATTTCCCCGGTACTGTATCCGAAGAGGGATGAGAGAGGAGGAGAAAGGTTAGGGAGGAAGTAGGATGGTGAGAGGAGAGGGGGAGGGGAGAGAGAGAGGAGGAGAAAGGTTTGGGAGGAAGTAGGATGGTCAGAGGAGAGGGGGAAGGGAGAGAGAGGTGAGGGGAGGGAGAAGGAGGAGGGAAGTAAGGGAGAGCATAAGAGAGGGCGGATGCAGTTTCGGGGGGGTGGGCAGGCGACATCCAGGTGTATTTATTCTATCTTGTTAAATGTGAAATTTCTTCTTTTTTGTTTATGTAATTGATAATTGGAAAATAAAAACTTTTTTGGAAAAAAAAAGAAGATCATCTACCAGCAGAGATTTCAAACAACTGTCAACTTGGCCAACCCAGGCTGTTCCAGCAAGTTCAGCCCAAGAGCTGAATGGAAGACGCTGAAAGAACTCTTTAAGAACTCCAGAATTTCATCCTGTGACCAAAGGCAGCTCTTATCACTATTGGTGACAAAATGGCAGCCCACAATTAGAAAAACTGTACAAATTAGACCTACGGACAGAACTTTTGCTAGCTATAAAGAACATCAGGGCAAGACTAAAGTTTGCTCATAAACACCTTGGGCTTCTGGAGCATAGTGCTGTTGATGGTAGATAGTTATTAAGTCACAATACCAGAAGACGTGTTTTGAGAAAATCAAAGACAGCATTTCACCAAAAGAAACCGATGCCAACTGTAAAGCATGGTGCAAAAATGTTATGGTTTGGAACTGCTTTGCTGTGTCAGAGTCTGGGCAGCTCACCATCATAGAATCTATAATGAATTCTTCAACATACCAAGGATGCTTGAGGATAATGTGAGGCGATTGAAACTCAACTGAAAGTGGACTTTGCAACATGACAATGACTCTAAACATTTTAGCAAATCTACCAATGAATGGCTGAAAAAGAGAAAGAAAAAAAAAGAAATTGAGGGTTCTGAAATGGTCAAGTAGAAGCCCATCAAGATGTTGTAGAGACTCCGCAATTATTTTTGTTGGGTATAGTTATTGATTGTGATACAAAGGAGGTTATATTGATGTTAAATTTGATTACAGCTGCGAGGCTGTTAGTAGGACAATATTGGAAGAAGGAATCTTTGCCTACACTGCAGGAATGGTTTCTTAAAGTGTCTTATTTGGCGGAAATGGCAAAGATTTCAGCTTTTTTAAAGGAACAAACGCAAGAGAAATTTCTTGCTGTTTGGGATAAGTGGATAAAATTTATACAATTTAAACTGGATATAAAAAAATATTATATAGCCTTTTCATAATCTTCATTTTTATATATATACATATATGTTTTAATGTTATATTTTCTTTTTTTATAAACATAATTTTTAATTGTTTTTTAATTAAGCCTATATTCTGCTCTGAGAAGCTCTGGGGGGGGGGAAGGGGGGGTGTTTGGGTGGGGGTTGGGGGGGTTTTGTTGTGTAATGTTTAGTTTTTTCTTTGTATATGTTGTTTTTTGTTTTTGTATTGTTTTGTTCTTTTTGTAAAACTTATAAAACTTTAAAAAAAAAAAAAGATGCTGTAGAGTGATCTAGAACAGGCTATGTATGCAAAACCAAACAAAAAAAAGCCCTCAAGCACTGCTTAGCTGCATGGAGGAATGGGAAAAAAATTCTCCTAGCTGATGTCAAAAACTGATAGTTATAAGAAATGCTTGCTTGAGATTGTTTTTGCTACAGGAGGCAATACCAGATACTAAATGTGATTTTTTTTTCACATAAGGAAATGTCATATTAGATAATGTTTTTGAAAAAATAAAATTATTGAAAATTTGATTTTTCATAGTTTTTTTTCAACTACATCATCTTTATATACCTCTGAATGAAAATAAAATAAAATATATGTTCACATACTTAAAAAAGAAAAATGACATGGGGTTTACATGCAATATTTTTTCTCATGACTGCAGACTCTTCAGTCACGCATAGTCTCTGATACTTACATATGTGAGTTGCTGCTTAATAGGTGCTTGATATACATTACAGGAAGTATATAACTCAATAACTTTAAAGCTGTAAAATTTACTTTATTTTAATAGAGCACTCAAATGATTCTGGTAGACAAAACATGAACATGGAATTAAAAAATTCTGAATTCAGGAATGTTGTTTTGAGTTTCAGAGATATCGGAGTTTAGTTCTTCTACACATAAATACATCCCGCCGGAAGTTTTCTTAACTTACTAATATAATTTTAGTGAGGGATGAGTTGAGAATGAATCACTCTGTTGCTACCTTGAGAATCAGAAATCTTGTTGATACATGTTAACTCCTTTAAAGACCTGCCACTAGTGACTATATCTAGCCATTTTGTCCGTGCATGAATGTGTGAAACATATTTAAGGTTGTATATTTGTATAAAAAATCATGTTTTTTGGATATACACCAGGGATATGGGCAAATGACAAAACATGTGTTATATCACAACACCAACACCACACTTAGGTTCTTGCTTGTGATGCAATGATAGTAGTAGAAAAATGGAGTTTATGTCTTCATTTTGACATCACTAGGATTAGGAATTATGCATATTCTTAATTCTTTTTGATTATCAAAAATTTGTGACTGCAGGGTAAAAAAATGCTGAAATGTGTTTTGTGGATCAAGTTCCCATACCTAATTTAATTTTACAATTAATGTTATATAATGCCCTTCAGAGTATTTATCAATATCAAATATGTCACTGAAAATACAATCTGATAGTCTTAAATCTTGCTATGCACATCCTAGTCCTCAGGTGCTACTTCTGCAAATACTTCATTGGCTTGGAATGCAATAGTTCCAGTATTTTCTTATTTGCTGGGTTTCTACATGGTTCCCAGGAGTTCAAGAGGAAGTAATACATATTTGTTATAATAGTGAAGCTCTCATGATACTTCACTTATACTTTCACCTTTCCACAAAAGCTATGGTGATTGACAACAAAAATGGACAACTTCTGGTTGCAGTTTAGAATATTCCACTTAGTTGTTGTTGTTTTTTACATTTTATAAAAATACTGAAGTTATAATGAGGGGAGATTCTAGTTCAGATCTCTTCCTGAATCCTTAAGATTCTGAACTCTCAAGACATTGTATAAATATGAGAATAAAATGAACCAAGTAAGTACTTAATTCAAAGCAGAAAATGATGTTGGGTCAAATGTGAATGTGTTTCAATAGCATTTTGCAGCTGTCTTATTTCTTAGATGCTAATCTCATTTGATTTACAAAAATAAAATGGTTTTATTCTTTATCATTTCTGTTCAGATGTTCTGATGCTTAACTTGCTATTCAAAGCAGAAAGAAATAAGGAATAAGATTAGTTTAAGAACAGACGGCAAAGGATACCTTACATTTGTAATTTTTATTTTATACATACAGAAGAAATACTTGATAAACCCTTTTAAATAATATACTACTAGCAATGGAATATGAGACAGTTTGGATAAGTCCAAGAAAAAAACTGTTCTCCCCATCCCCACAAACTGATTCATGAGACCTGGCTCAAAAGCAGTAACTGTGAGAGGGACCTTGGAGTCCTAGTGGACTATCACTTGACTATGAGCCAGCAGTGTGCAGCAGCAGCCAAAAAAGCTAATACAATCCTGGGTTGTATAAACAGAGGCGCAGAATCAAGATCACATAAAGTATTAGTACTGCTTTATGAAACCCTAGTAAGACCACGCCTAGAATACTGCAACCAGTTTTGGTCACCATACTACAAAAAAAAATGTTGAGATCTTGGAAAAAGTTCAGAGAAGAGCAACTAAAATCCTCAAAGGCATTTCAGCCTGGAGACTAAAACATATGAAGAACGGCTGCAGGACTTGGGTTTGGCTAGTGTCAAGAAAAGAAGAAACAGGTTCAAGATGATAGCAGTATTCCAGCATTTGAGGGGCTGCCACAAAGAAGAGTGTGTCAAACTATTCTCCAAAGCACCAGAGGGCAAGACAAGAAAAAGTGGTTGGAAACTGACCAAAGAGAGAAGCAACTTGGAATTAAGGGGAAACTTCCTAACAGTGAGGACAATTAACCAGTGGAACAACTTGCCCTCAGAAATTGTGGGTGCTCCATCTCTGGAGATTTTTAAGAAGAGACTAGACAGTCTGTGATCCAGAACACAGTCACTTGTCTGAAATAGTATAGGTTCTACTGCTCAAGCAGGGAGCTGGACTAGAAGACCTCCAAGGTCCCTTCCAGCTCTATTCTCTATTCTAATGTATAGAAGATAACACATTTTGAAGTGTTTCCTGATCTGTAAAAAATACATGCTGAGAGAAACAGGTTTTTCTTTTTTGTTGAAGTTTTCTTCCTTAAAATGCAAGAATTCCCCCTCTAATGTATAGATGTGTATCATCCCTGAAATGTGTATTGCCTAGAGCCAGATGAAAGATGTGTTGGAATTATTGGGTTATCTGGCCTGTTAGGCTGAGTCATCAGCTGCAGTAGGCCAAGGTATGAGGAAGTCAGAAGAAAAAAAAGATTGGCGTAAACAACGTGCCGTGCGGTAATGTGTTTTGGTGTTTGTTAGTGCCGTGTGTAACAGCTGTATAGTAGCGTGTGCAAAACAAAGTTAGCACGTGTAATATGCTAATATGCTGTGTCATAACAAATGTGGTTGGTGTAAGGTGGTCACCAGGTGCCTATAAACCCGCCTTCTGATAACACAATAAAAGGGATGCTTCGTCTTTGTTTGAGGCTCCCATCCCGAGGAAACCACGTGTACGTGTCTGTTCTTCAACACCCATGGGAGACCGCTGGGCGCAAGAAAACCCACAACTGGTGACCCCGATGTGATTCAAGTTTCTGAGCACGTCTCTTGGTACTGCAACTCAGGGCCGGTCGTCGGGATAGACGAAGCACCCTCCCAAAATATTACGTCTCTTGGTACCCTCTTACTCACTCAGCGGAAGAGCTTACTGCAACTCAGGGCCGGTCGTCAGAGCTAGACGAAGCACCCTCCCAAAACATTACCGTGAGTATGGGGACAGGATTCTCTAAGCCTCAGGTCGCGCACTTCTCAGAACTTAGGGAATTGACCAAGTCATCAATAATTGTTTTGAAAAACAATGGGAAAGATTTGCCGCTTCCCACTAAAAGGGATTTAATCCTCCTCTTAAAATATGTATATCAAAATTGCCCTGCATATCCCGAAGGAGGATCCCTAAAAATGTCTGTGTGGGTTAAATTAGGAAAGTATTTTCATAATTCCCTCGTGCCCCTGCAAAAATTTTGTCTACATGGCGAATTGTAATTGAATGTCTCCAAATCCATGAAGATGCCATGAAAACAGAGAAGGGGAGGGTAGACCCCCCTCCTTCCTATAACTCTGAAAAGCCTGTAGACCCCCCGCCTGCCTATGACTCTGAAAAGCCCAATGAGTTAAAAAAGGGACAGAGTGCAGAAGAAAAATCCTCCTTGGCAGCTTATGACTCTGAAAAGCCCAATGAGTTAAAAAAGGGACAGAGTGCAAAAGAAAACTCCTCCTTGGCAGTTTATCAAGCCGATGTGTCTTTTGAACCGTTCGCGCCGAAAGAGGAGGGAGGAAAAGAACAAAGAAACGCCAACGTGCTACCTTCCCCTGCCAGCGCCATCTCCAGGGCACTGGCCGAAGCTTATGAAAAAGGGGAACTGCAACCTGAAGAATATCAATTTTGTGCACCTGTTTTTATTGATCCAATCACAGGCAATCGCAGATATGAAACTATTCCTATAAAAAATATTAGGGAAATTAAACAGGCTGCATCAAATTATGGGATTTCTAGCCATTATACCTTGGGTCTGATAGGTCACATGGCTATTAGTTTTTTTTTGTTGCCTGAAGATTGGAAAGGGCTATTCAATATGATTTTAACATCTCAATATGTGGTTTGGGAATCAGAATGGAAAAAGGAATGTCAAAAGATCGTTTCAGCTT